TGGGTCTCTCACTAACAGAGATCCAAATTCAGGAGGAAAATTCCTTACACACTAATCTGAAAGCTACTGTCTTAAGAAGAATCACAAGACCCTGACTCGGAAACGAAATGAAATTAACCTGTGAGGGGAACAACATGGGACCCGCATTCCCATCTACTCTTTACACACACTAGAGAAGATCCAACAGGAAGCACTTCCTAGTGCTGGAGATCCAGCACTAACACCTGCGCGCCCAGCAACAGAGCTGTAGAAATGGAGATGAGCTCCTGCCTTTCGTGTTAAGATAGCATCACCTCAGGGAACATCTTCCGCGGGTCAGGGGAAACCGATCCAGCGCGCAGCCTCCCGAAACGCGCGCTCGGGGCACAGGAGATGCCGGCTCCCCGTTTCCCCCGGGGAGAGCTCAGAGAGGACTGAGCGTGGTTCCCTGTGCAGCCCCTGGGCCCACCCTACCCGGCAAGTCCCGGGCAAGGCCCCAACGGTTCCCAACCGCGCCTGGGCCCATAGCGATGACACGAAGGAGGTGAACACGGCGGAGCAGCCCGGGCCGCTGCTCTCCACACCCCCAGCTGCACGAGCGGCCTAGGCTTGCGGCGCCCCTCCAGCCTCCACAGCGCAGCGTGGTGCAGGCCGCGGCCACACACAGCCAGCAGGGGCGGCCCCTACCCTCACCACAGCCACAGCAGCGGGGTCAGCGATGCCCCTGAGAGCGGGCAGCTACTGCGGAGCGATGTCAGCGCCGCTCAGACCGCGCCTCCACCCAGGCCCCAGGTAAACCGCGGCCCAGCGAGGGGAGGCTCACCCGGCCTCCTGCGGGCCTAGGGAGCCGCGGAAGGAGGAAGCGGGCCCGCAGCGGGACCTGACGGCACCGGCGGCTCTTACCTGTGCCTCGGCGGGGCGGGCGCAGCCAGTGTCCGGCCGCTCCTCGGCGGGGTTTGAAATCACCAACACCGCCCGCACCTCCCAGTGTCCTCAGCGCCCATTGGCCTTCGCCGACCCCACCCACGCCCTCACCCGCGCATTTTATTGGTTCGTTTGAATCCGGCAGAGACCACGCGTGCTCCGCGCCCTCCTGAGGCGGTGCCGGCGCCGGCACCGCGGGGCAGAGCACGCAGGCGGGCCCGGTCTCCGGCGGCACCAACCCGCTCGGTAACGACCTGGGACGTGCCGGGGAAGGAAGCGCTCGGTGAGGGGCGGCTGTGAGGCCCGCTCCGCCCGGAGGCAGCAGCGCTAGGCCGCTGGAGCCATCGCCTTTCGCAACGGGCTACAGCAGCTCCCGGGCGGTGGGAGCATCGCATTAGAGGGGAAGGGGCTTCCCTACGCAGTGTGTTTAATAGGAGCAGTCAAAACTGCTTGGTGTTGGAGTACGGGGTGTCTTTCCTCCTTTGTTTCTTCATTTCAGCTGAAGAAGGTGAAGTTGGGGTGATCAGAATAGAAGCCAAGGGAGAGGTGAATGCCATCAGCACAACCGCCATGATCACATAGTGCCACCTCCCCACCCCGCTGTATAAGCATTATCGGTATTTTTCAAAAGGTGAGGTTGTTGTGGTTTTGGTTATTATATTTTTGCATGATCTCAGTGAAGTGACCGCTGTGCTGTGCTTCAGCTGTGAAATGAGCAGGAATAAAGCTGAAATGTTTTGAGTGCTTTTGGTACTTCTTCCATCAGAATGGGACAGAAGCTGTTAGAAAATGAGAGAACCAGTACTGCAGTGTCAGGCATACACAGATTTATGGAATGCTTTGTGTTGGAAGGGACCTTAAAGCTCATCCAGTTCCAACTGCTGCCACGGGCAGGGACACCTTCCACTAGAGCAGCTTGCGCCAAGCCCCTGTGTCCAACCTGGCCTTGAACACTGCCAGGGATGGGGCAGCCACAGCTTCTCTGGGCACCCTGTGCCAGCACCTCAGCACCCTCACAGGGAAGAGCTTCTGCCTAAGAGCTCATCTCAGTCTCCCCTCTGTCAGGTTAAAGCCATTCCCCCTTGTCCTGTCCCTACAGGCCCGTGTCCAAAGCCCCTCTCCACATTTCCTGCAGCCCCTTCAGGCACTGGAAGCTGCTCTCAGATTTCCCCTTATGGAGCCTTTTCTTCTCCAGGCTGAACCAGCCCAGCTCTCAGCCTGGTTCCACAGCAGAGCTGCTCCTGCCCTCTGAGCATTGTTGTGGCCCTCCTAATTTATTGAATTCCCTTCCTGTATTACTGAATGTTTAATTCATTATTCAACTACTTAAACCATCAGTTATTAAAAAATCCAACAGAATTGTGCAAAATCCCTTACAGATGGAAAGCAAGCGCTTCTCTAGAACTTTATTTTCCACTGGATAGGGGCTTGAGACTACTACAGTCCTAATACTTTCCAAGAAGAGGAACATCCTCTTCTGTTGTTGCTGTGTTAAAAAGGAAAACAAGCCAGAGAGGTGTTATGTGTGCACAGGAATTTGCTGAAGTGCATGAGTGTGGATATTTGGTCCTTGATTCAAAGCTGTGGTGGCAGAAGATGCGTGTGTTACAATCAGATTATCAAAGAACCCAGGTCTGTTCCTAACTTCTTGCTCCTCTGAAACAAAGTTGAGGTTCTGTGAGGTATGGGAGCTCCTCTTTCAAAGGAAAGTCAAAATAACATGCACGATTCACAACCAAAAGCCAGTCAAAATGGTTAAGAAAAGCTAAATTTATATTAAATTATCATCAACCCCTAAAATACTGAACACAGTGGTTAAATAACTCCAGAATGTCCAATGTCTCCAGTGAGTAACGTTAAAACCATTACACAGGAACACACAGAAATCACTGACGTTAGCTCGGGACAGACAGGAGAGAGGTTTGCTTTTTACATAGTAAATCAGTGCTGAAGAGATCGTCCCCCAGTAGCCCTTCTACATTCTTAACATCCTAAGTGCAACGAGGGTCTTCTCTTCCCTGGAACAGGGAACCATGATGCACCCCATAGGCAGCATCTCACTGGGGCTGTCTCTAGGAGAAAGAAAACTCATTTCTGCCCACCTCACTGGTAGAGGAGAGGATGTGGGACATGGTGTTGCTCCTTTTCACCACAATCGTTTGAGGAGGGAGCAGAGAGCAGTTACGAATGGTTGTTAGGCTGGAGCGTGAAAGGTCCCTCCTAAGGAACAGCAGAGATTTATGAAGGTGGAGATCACAAGCACCATAAGCTGTTGGAAAGACTGACTGGGTTTTCCTTTCCATTCTGCACTTGAGACTCAAGACAGTGATTCCTGTGCCACAGGCTGACCGAAGCTCAAGTGACAGGTTTGGGCAGATGTTTCCCTTCAGCCTTGTCCCACACTCACCAAAAGCCATTGGGGAAAACCAAACCAAATGTACCCCAAACCCCAGAGAAACCCTGCTCTCCTAGAAATCAGAGCCTTCCTTCCCCCATCCAGCCACTCACTCTCAGCTCTGATGCCCCTGCATACTGTGTCACAGTTTTGACCAAATCAACATGGTTTCTGTTAATACTGATTCTTCTGCCTATGCTTGAGCCCTCTGGTGTTGTCCCTGCATGAGGCAGCTCAGACAGCACAGTCCAGGTCAGCGACACACACTCCTGTCTCAGTTCCCAGTCGAGTCCACATCTCAATCCAAAAGTGCCTCTGCCCAACAAAACCAATGCTTCCCAGGCTGGAGTCAATCAAATAAATAATTAAATAACAATCTAGTTAAAAAAAGAATCCTCTGGGAATAGGGAAGAGCCCCACATTAACACAGGGAAATTTCCAAGCCTCAGCTCCAGTTCATCTTCCACAGGAATATACACCAGTCAGCCCAATGGTGCAGTTACAGTTTCAAGCCACCTTAGAGCCAGGTCAAAGCTGCAACCTTTCCCTTCTTGCAGAGCTGTAAAATACAGCCAAACCCACTGGCAGCTGTGGTTGTTTTCAGGGTAGCAGGGCTGTTAGTACACAAACAGGGTTAAAGCAGGGTAGGATGGATTTGCCTTTCTTCTACCATCCAAATACTGCATGGGAGATGTGCCCTCCCTGCACCTCTGAGCCATACCCCTAGTGTGTGCTTTGCTCCTTTTACACCCCAGGTGGGAATGTACTTGACCTCTTTCCAGGAACTAAAGAGGTTACAGAGTTTGCTGTGAGAAAATCTTCACTGGAAAGTTCTGCTTCCAAGCATCTGGCTTAACACTTCCTATTTTACCAAGATAGTGACTGGAGGGGTTAACATAAATCTCAGTTTTGAAGAACCACCAAGAGATAATTTCTCTATCTGCTTTTTTTTCCCCTCTGGACAAGGAGAAGTCACGAGAGTGTGAAAAAGTGGCAATGGTCCCTGGGAGCCCCACCTCCAGATGCTGCTGGGGTGCAAGTGCAAGGGTAGGATTACACCTCCCAGAGGGTGAAGGCTGTGGAGGCCAGAGAACAACTGAAGCTGTTGCAGCTAATGGGAGGAATGCCTTTGCAAGGAGAGCTGTTTAGTGGTAACAGAAGAGCTTAAAGTGCAATTCTATCTGATAAACAGTTATTTAAAATGGCCCTTGCAGCTCCCTGATTATTGTCTCCTATTCTAGGTCAAATGGGCTCAGCATAGTAATAAAGGAGTTCCTAACTGTCAGCACTGAGGGTTCCCTTGGGAAAGACTCGACCTAGGAATTCTCTTTTTTCCCCTTATTACAATAATCTAAGGTCCTAAAGACCAAGAGAATTGGGTCCTTGCAGAATTAGGACTAGTGGGGCCTTAGCAAGTTTTCTTCTTCATTTTTAATGTATCAGTTATGCAAAGACAAGAGTTGAAATTAGGTCTTGCTGAGATCCATTTCTCCCCATTAGCTCTGCAGAGCTAAGAACAACACCAATCTCTGCTTTGCTTAAGTTCAGAGTGCTCTAAGTTCAGCACTCCAATACTGACAGGGAGCAGTTCTGAAAGGGCCATTTGCTGTCTCTTGTATTTCCAGAGTAGAAACATGTTTTAATAGGAAAGGGGAGAACAGGAGCAGTGTCCACTGCCAGCAACAGACACAGAGCTCCAATCTGAAGCATTCCCTAAAGTTTTTACTAGTAGATGGGAAAGTAAGCAGTGAAGCTCTCATGAAGCAAATCATGGCAACTGTAGTCACCCTCTTTATGCCCTTTAAAGGTGACCTGATGCTGTGTCTTTGTCCCCTTGAGCCTCAAAGTATACCTCATCTATTCCAAGACTCCTTTCACGTCAGAAACCCCTCAACACAAAGCCTCAAAGTGTGCTGCTAGTGCTGGAACACTAGTGGAACCAGGGGTACTTCTGCAACCAGGAGCTAGCAATGAGGCAGCTCTGCTCTCTTCATGGGCATTGACTGTGAGCTGGCCGTCACACGACTCGCAGGTTGCCAGAGAACACAATCTGAACCAGATTCAGGCCAGAGGAGTCACTGCAGAAGTTAACGTGGCAGCTTCCAGGAAAGGGGAAACATAAATAAACCACAGACAGTGAAAATGAGCCAAAAGGGTCTCTGGGTTCCAACCCACCCATCCTCCCTCTCCAACCACAACAGCACAGCTGCCCAAGCTCCTTGCTCAAAGGCAGTCCCAGTCTCTGGGCCCCTTGCAAGAGGAGCTGGTCTCTGTGCCCTTCCTTGCCTAGCAGGCAGAGTCTTGTCTGGTTTGTGCAGAGCAGAGGCTAAGGAGGGTACGAGCATCCCCAAAGTCACGTGTACTTTAGACCTCGCTCTCGGTGGAGGGCTTGCGTTGGTGTTTCCAGCCTGTGTCTGGGAGCGAGCCCCGCCGCTCTGGAGTGGCTGCTGCTGTGTTAACACTGCTGCATTCAGACTGTTCCTCCTGTAGCAGCTGCTCAGTTTCGGTGTCATCCAGTGAGCCAGAACTAGCCTGGATGGAGACCGTGTCTGTCTTCATGCAGACGTGGTCCCGCAGGATCCCTCCTCGTGAGCTCCGAATCTGCTTAAGGTCATCCCACTCGGAATCATCACCGGATAAAAGGCATATCCCCTCCACAATCTTGATCTTCTCCTTGGTGTAGCTGTGGTCAGGAGCAGTCTAGGGAGCAGACAGATGAATGAAACAATACATATATGGAAAAAACATGGCGAAGAGCAAAGCAGAGCTAGGATGTAGACAGTGAAGCAGACAAAAGGTTGGACCTCCATAAAAACAGCCACTGGGCTTGGACTATCACAGTGGCAGAACCCATTCTAAGCTTCCCATCAGTCCTTCACCACTGCCAGACGAGTCCTCCCTGCAAGAGCTCTCATTCCAAACTCCAGGAGCCTCCAAATCATGGAAGGGGAATAAGGATGAGCTGTCTCTTCTAATTCAACTATATCTATTTCCCAAACAGCAGGGAGTAAGAACAGCACTGAGCCTAAAAAGGAAGGGAAAAAAACCCCAACAAAATGGGAAGCAGGAAAAGCCAGAAGACTTCATGCTAAGAGTAGACAGGGAATCAATTCTAGGTTTGCAATATCTTTATATCTGAGCCATTCCAGATTTGCCTCAACTGAAATACCACTGTTGCATCTGAGTCTCACAGCGATACAGGGCAAGGAGATTATAGGGAAACAACAAAAATGATCAGAGGCTAAAGGGACCACACTGAGATTGAAATGGCTCACCAACAAACAGGGAGCATTAGAACATCTGATCTATCCCGGAGGAGAAAGTGGACAAGGAAATATGCATCTGGGTAATATCTAGGAGCAGCAGCAGAATTAAGAGAAAAGTGGAAAGGATTTAGATTGCCAGATAAATAAACCCAAGTTATCCTTAGTAAATAAAGACTAAAACACAGGAAAGTTTGAGAAATCTATTGGACAATACCTTTGGAAAAATAAAAGCAGGGAAAACTCTCCTCTGTATAAGTCTTGCTGTGTCCCTGCTCAAGGAAGTAAGTGATCTACCAGATCATTATGAATAGTCCTACAGAAATTATCTTTTCCAAATCTCACACACTGAGTATGAGTAGCCAAAGCCAAGAGCGAAGGATCTGCCACAGAAAATTACCTACGCTTTCTTGACAGACAGTAGAGCTGAGACATAAAAGCAGGGGAGAAAACAAGAAGGAACAATTAGTATGGGACAGTGCTTGAGCCACACAACAGAGCTTGAGTGAGGGAGGCAGGATCAAACACAGAGCAGTGATACCTGATGTGAGGATGTGGACGGAAATCAGAAGAGGGAAGATGAGAAGCTATCTGAGTGATAGGAAAGCTTCTGAGGAGAGAACAGAGGAGAAATGAAGTGCTGCAAAGTATCATATCAAACCCTCTCCATCCTCTCCAGGGCAGATGTCTGCAGGGCCTTTAAAATGCTTCATTAAGTAAGGGCTCCAGTTTTCTCCCTATCCCACCCCTTCCAGGCAGTGCCCAGCCAGGAGCCATGTTCTTGTTACCAAAGCCCTTCTAGCTGCCTGGTTCCCTGGTGACTTTCCAAAGCAACCTTGGTGCCACAGTCACCAACTCAGACTGTGTCCAGGGAAGACAATTCCCTTTGACTCCTGGTACTCTGAGGGGCAGCACCCAGTGCAAATGAAATATAAGACACTGGAAGTTGGGAAGAAGCAGAGAGCTGAAGACAGGTCTAATTCACTACAGCTCAGTGGGAGGAAGTGCTGCTGGGTCATCTCCATAGAAATCTGAGCAATTCACTCCAGCTGCCCACCTACATCCTAAAAGTCGATGCTGACAAGTTGCAACACTCACAAAGGCCTGTAATACTCAACAGCAGCTTGAACTGGACTCCTGTGTCCTCAGCAGCAAAACTCTTACCTCTTTCTTATAGCACAACTGGTTGTACATGGTTGGTTTGGGAACTGCTTCAATCTTCACCTCTTGGGTAGATGTCCGATACGAGGGATTACTGTAGGTGAGGTTCCCCAGGCCAGGGTCCGTGAACTTGGACTTATTATGCCTAGAGGAAGAGAGACGTCAGGAAAGACACGGGGCCCTACTGCCAGGATCCAAACCTCCCAAGTGCTTGGGCAGGGGAAAGCTCCAGCAATCTTCACTGTCCCTCAGAGAGGGAATGCTGGCTTCACCTGGCTCTTCAGCTACCTGTATAGCACTGCCAAGTAATCACAAAAGCTGTACTGGCAGTAACTGGTGAAGCTATCTGTGAATTGTCTCGCATCCCTGTCCATCACTCATGAGGTCTCTACAGAAAATTTAGCCATTAAGGGTTCAAATATTAGAGCTGCATGCCCTGCACAGGGCTGAAACCTTGCAAATCATATCATTAAACACTGCTTCCAATGGGGAATAAAGGGATTGTAAGTGACAAAGATGAAGTGCTTTCAGGAGCTTTCTTCTCCTACGACCCTCACTTTTAATGTTGGCCAAGAAAGGGGGAAAAAGATCACTTACCTATATATAATTAAAGCAGCAATAAGCAGCAAAATAAACAAGATGCTGAGAAGACCTCCAATGATGTAGCTGACATGCAGTCCTTCTCCTGAGAATTAAACAGCAAAGGTAATTTATGCACTCGTCTTCACTTCCATTGGATAACACTGACCTGGTGTAACACCTAATACAGGGATTCTATACCCTACAGAAGTATGTAAAGTACAAGTCAGGACACCAAGGTTCAGCAGAGGTTTGGCTTCAGATGAAACCACCCTTATGATAACCCTTCCTCCCACCCAGGCCCCAGCAGACCAAGGAGCATCAAGATGTTTGTAATGTGGCTGGATAATGATGAGTTAGACCCCTTTGCTGACAAGTTACTCCTGCTGTGGGAAACAATTACTCGTCAGCCATCCTCAACCAAACACAAAGGGAATGGTAAGGAAGAGTATCATTAATGGGAAGAGCCCAGTGGATGAGATATGAGATGAAGGAAAACTTCTTCAAACTAAAGTGCCCTTTGGAAAACTCCCCATGGAGGCTAATGAATGTGTATGACCAATGTTCATCCTTAGGCACACTTTGCTCTGCTCAGAGGACATCTGAAGAATTCAAGTCTGAATTCTGAAATTTGAGTTTCAGACACTGTGGACTGGAAGGCAATGGGCACATCTGGAGGAAAAAAACTGGTGGAAAAAAGAGTTGAAGAAAAGGAACTCACCCATGGTTGCCAGCACTGCCTCATTGGCATGGGTACACAAGCCTCGCCTAGCATCTTTGTCAGAGCAGCTGAAGGACAGAAGGACAGTTAGTTACTGGAAGCAGCATCAACAGTATCAAAGGCACCAAAAGACAGGATGACACTGGGTAGCACTGATATCTCTTCCATTTCCATTTCCAGTTCAACAAAGGGAGCCTTCCTTTCTCCTCTTCAGTATTCTGTACCCAGAGGAGAGGGGACTACATATATGGGGAGAGGGTGGTGTGGGTGTATGTATCAGTCGCAGGTCTGCAATATCTTTATGTCCCAAGTCATTCTAGATTTGCCTCTCAGGTACACAGGTGTACACATACACTAGAGCACAGATTTCAGCATCAGTGCTGCAGCAAAAATCATAACATCCTAACATCAGCACAAAGATCCTTCTGTCCAACACCTCATACCCAACAAAGTAGAAGCTTTCCCTGTAAATAAATAACCCAGCCAGAACTTCCTTTGTTTTCCTGGGCGGTAGAAATAGCAGGCTGCAGGGAATTTACAGAAGGTCTCTTAAGTACCTGCATTGTAACTGGGATGTTAGAGCTGCAAAGGTTCTGTTCTGCCCCAAAGAAGCTATTCCTTTGTGATCAGAGCAGAACCACTTCCTCAGACATCTGAATCAGGTTTGAGTTCTCCCAGTAAATTAAATGAACAGCCTCCCTCCTCCTCCTTTCAGAAATAAGTTGTCAAAATTAGGAGTTAAAAAAAAACCAACTATCAACTGAATTAGTGGTCTCAGGAGGATTTTAACACCAGCACAGTCAGGCTAGACAACATTTCAATAGAACAGACAGAAAGATCTCTGCACTTCTTTCTTGCCAGCTCAACAGTGTTCTGCATTCTTTATCAGAATGGTTTTCCCATTAGGAATGTGAAGTCTGGAGCTGGAATGGCCTCTTTTGGCTAGGGACAGGTATTATTTGGATGATGACAACCAGAGGGGGCTTACATGTTGCACCTTGTACAAGCTGTAACTTTCACACCCCAGTTCCAAGGGAACAAGAGCACTTACTTTCCTTCCACTGCAGGCGTGAGAGGTTTGGTTGTTGAAGTACCTACTCTGCCAGGTGGTGTCTGACTTCTCTCTCTCACACTGGTGGGTTCAGGACCAAAGGGCACCACACCAGGAACTAGAAGAGAGAAAAATAACCAGAACCTCAACTTTGTGGGACAGATGAACAAGTCTGGTAAGCTATAGATTGTTTCTGAAATGGCCCAGATGAGTAGCTTTCCCATCTCAAACCCAGTCTGTCAGCAGAAAAGACAGAAGAAGGCTTTATTGCTCACAACCTCCTTATTTCCAATATATGAAGTTTTATACACTGGAGAGCTTTGGAAGCTATTACCCCTTTGACACTCAGTAAACTCACTGGTAGAACAGGGCCGCCCATCTGGCTCATCTGGACACGCGCAGACAAAGTCAGAAGCTCTGGCAAAGCAGAGGTGGGTGCAGCCTCCATTGTTCACTCCACAAGCATTAGAACCTGGAAGGAACAAGCAGCTTTCTAAATACATTGCATTGACCAGGTAGGAGCTCAGAGTAACAACCCTATCTCCTGCTCAGCCAGAGACGCTTCCTGGCACGTGCTCTTCATCTGACTGTTAAGAAAGTGATGACAATAGTCAGACACTGGTAGGATTAAGGCAGTCTTGAAAGGAAGGCACTGGAAATCATTAGACAGGAACCCAGTCAGCACAGCTGCAGAGACTAAAACCCAAAAAGCTCACATTCTTCTGTTTTAACACAATGTCAGATGAACAACGCAGAAAGTGACATTAGCTAATCAAAGCTGTAACAGAACACTACTAAGAAGTACTTGACTGAAATGTCATAGGCAGACATGGAATGTGCACAGGGAAAACGCATTAACAGTCTGAGAAAGGATTCTGTCTTGACACCTACAGTAGCACAGTTGTTAGACATCCTCCTGTCTGCAATTAGCATTTGCCTGAATCAAGGTACTCCTATTTACCTGTCTGTCTCTGAGGGGAAACCACAATGATATCCATCAGTCCCTCAACATTGGCCAGGACTGTCTCTTTGTTCCGCCCTGAGTATTTGTCCACTCTCTGGATAGATTTGGTTTGCCAGTCAGTCCAGTATATCCACCTATCCTGCTGCTCAGGGAGACAGCAAAGAAAAAGCACAGCCATTAGCATGGTTAGCCACGAAGACATAGGATATCCACAAAGAACCATCCCAGTGGCAGAAAGCCCCAGACAAAGGCCTTTTCAACCCCTTCCCCTTCTACCATAAAGAAAATGACCATCTACACCCCACAGGAGTTCGGACAAACTTCCTTTGTTAGCTCCACTGAAGAGTTAAGTACTGTCCCCTCAGCTATCTTGGTTTCCCCAGACTGTATCAGTTCCCTGTCCCCAAGCCCCACTGTCCAAACTCATCAACACACCGGGGAGAACGGCGGCAGCAGGAAAATCTTCTTACCTGTGTCAGAGCAAAAGGATGTGACACTTGGCTGACCAACACTTGCCGTAGCTTCCCATGGAGATCACAGCTCTCTATGCGATCAAGATGCGCATCCACCCAGTAAATCCTGGAGGAACACGGAAAGAGGTGAGCTGCCATCTATACACTCCCCTTTCACTTTGTAGTCAAGATGGATCAGACAAAAAGCAAACCCAAACCCACAATGCTACTCATAAGCCAAGCTAAAAAACTTCATTACATCCCTTAAACCTATTCAAACAGAAGACAATCTTTCACCTCCTGGTGTCATAATCCAAAGTCAATCCATTGGGCCACCCTAGGTCAGTGTTAATCAGGATTTTACGTTCAGAGCCATCCAAGTTTGCCCGTTCAATTTTAGCAATGTGACCCCAATCTGTCCAGAAGAGATACCTGAAGAGATAAAATTCAAGTATAAGAAGAAAAGACCATTTAGCCTAAGGGAAGTTTCAGTTGTGAATTAAACTGCCATTAACCGATTCTTCAGGTTCAAAGATCATGTGGCCTGTAGCTTGCTTTTTCCAGCTACCTGCTCAACCTTCAAATTCACTGTTTGCTTGATTATGTCTGTCACTTAGAGCCAGCCCCTTGCTGGTACCTGCAGATCCAAATGGCACATCTCTCCTTCATCCCACAACTCCCTCTTCAATCTGCCTCTGCACAGCCCTTCTCACTGCCCCACCAGTACCCCATACTTACCCCTTCTTGGGAAAGACAGCAATGGCTCGGGGCTCATCCAGGCTGTTATTGATCAGCACTTTCCTGGAGCTTCCATCCAGCCTAGCTACTTCTATGGTATTGCGTCCTGTGTCTGTCCAGTAGAGGTTCCTGGCAACCCAGTCCACTGCCAGGCCATCTGTAGTCTTCAAACCCTGGCCAATAACAGTTTCCATGTTGCTGCCATTCAAATCAGACCGCCTGGATGGAAATCAATGACAAATGGCCATGAGGAATGGCAATCTCCCACACCTCCATCAACCACAGGGCCACCTCATACTGCTACCTCCCAAACACCTTTTCTCCCCAATAGTCTCCAGCAGGTTAAACACACCTTCAGTATTTGGATCAGCGATACACATGATGCTGTGTACCAAAGACAAGGTGTAAGCACTGGCATACTGACATCATCTCGGTCTCCCCAGCTTACTGGCACACTCCACAGCTCACGGTGGCACAACCAGCACAAGCAGCTGGGTAACCTGGGCACTGGCCAAGCAGATGACTGGCACCCACCTGATGACATCTAGAAATACATCTGTGTAGTAAATCTTGCCATCCACACTATCATAGTCCAGAGAAATGACGTTGTTCAGCTCAGGGACAGGGATGTGCACATCTGTGTGGTCACTGGTATCCAGAGAGATGCGACGGATGGAAGCACGGCTGGAGAAAAGTAGGTAAGTCTCTGGAGAAGAGTCACACGTCTGCTCATCTCTCTTCAGCTGGATGCCAGTGGGGCAGGCGCAGGAGAAGCCAGTGGGGTGAGGCAAGCAAAGGTGGGAGCAGCCACCATTATGAACTCCACATTTATTGAAGCCTTTAGAAATAGGGAAAGTTTAATGATCTCACAGAGCAAAGGTTTATTTTAAAGGCTATATACATGCACAACTTGCTGGTAGCTGAGTTCATCCTAACCATCCCAGCCTTGCTACAGCCGTTCATACAGAGACTGCCTCCTTCCCCTTCAAGATTCATGGTGGATATGGGCTTGGCTGGGCAAGGTGATCAGGAATGCATAGAAGGGGGAGCATTAGGAGCAAAATCTTGACCTGCATTCTTTGCTGATCAGAGCTTTCCCATGTAAAAAGGAGCAACCAAATGCTGATAGATTCACACAACTGCAGTCTAGCTTTATTATTGCTGCAAATGGTAATGCTGACAGAAAGATCCAACCCTGTGGGGAAGCAGCGTGACAATGCACCAGAGGCCAGGCTGACAAAGAAGCTTCTGTTTCAACTTAGCTCACACAGTGGCAAGTAAACAAAGGCATCAGAGAAGCCTGCTCAAAGTGCCTGACATATTAGGGTCATATCTTCTTCTTTTTAATTGAAAAACCCCCAACATCTCTTTACTAGGAGGGGATAAACCCAGCAGAGAGGTGCAGGGAGTGGGAAGAAGACAGCAGGGACATAACGGCTTGAGTTTTGGTTAGCTTTAAGCTATATTGTAAAGTTATACTGTCAAGGGTGATGTTCTGCTGTTAGGAGCCACAGGAGAAGCAGCACAGTTTTCTGTAGAAGCATGCGTTGGGGAAATTCCAACAAAATGAAGCCACAGCACAAAGCAACTCCCACTGATAAGCAAGGAGGCAAGATGGGGTTGTACAGGATCCCCAGACAGTCACATAAGGAATCCAACTCTGGCACAGAATAGCTGGAGAGCATGATGTATATTATGAACAACTAAAGAAGCAGAGATTTTCTAGAGGGAAGTGGCAGATGGGAAGATGAAGCCTTCAACGGTTGAGAAAAAGAGACTAGAACTTGAAATCAGGTTTAAACCAGCATAAGAGGAATCAGTGCCTTCTGCAGTTAAAAAAGGGAAAGTGTCCAATGCCAGTAAACTCTGATGAAGCCTAATAGGGCATGACTCATTCAGTTGTCCTAAGAAAGTGGCTCTGCTGTGTGTGAGAATGAGGTTGTCAGTGCAGCCCAGTGAAGGAAATGGGATGAAGGGGGGAAAAGACATGCAGTAATAAGCAAACATCAGACCTATGGAGCTGGATATTAAAGGGAGAAGTGCAAAACCAGTTAAACAAGGGGAAAAAAAGAGAAGAAAAGCTGATTTTTGAGCAGTTACTCTATCACTCATGCTTTACACCAAGCAACTCTCTTCAGTGACAGCTCTAAGGGCTACCCTAGTTACCACAGACACCCACTGGTTTGGGAGCAGCCAAGCAACTCACCCAAGGGCCGTGCCCTATCAACAGCTTGAATGTCCATGAGGCCAGGCAGGTTTGCCCTCACCAAGATGACATTGGCACCAGTGTCCTTGTCAGCCCTGTGAATGCTGCGAGTTTGCCAGTCAGTCCAGTAGATGTAAGAGTCCAGCAAAGTGAGGCCATAGGGATGTTGCACTGGGGACAGCAACGTGTGGCGGTTCGCACCATTGAGGTCTGCAGCCTCAATCCGCTAAATAAAGAAGTAAAACATCAGCTCCGTGATCAAAACACCGATCCTCTTGCTAGCAGTTACTAGTTTGAGTGGGAAACAGAGGCTAAACAAGTGATGTTACTCAAGTACACCCTCCCAATACACCCAGAAAAGCTTATGTTCCCCTCTCTCTTTTGATAGCTTGCTCAAGAGCTTTAAAACAGCCTCCAGGCTACCAAAGACACAAGAATAAACCCTGCTTAAGAACAGAATCAGACCTCAGTGTGAGCATCAGCCCAGAGCAGCTGGGATCCAGCCTTATCCACTGCCAGTCCATTAGGCCAGCCCAGGTTGTTGCTGATCAACACCACACGTCCAGAGCCATCCATTCCAGAGCGTTCCAGCTTGGCATTCTCACCCCAGTCTGTCCAGTACATATACCTGGGGAAAAGCCAGCAACTATTATGGAAACAGAAGTCAAAAGTCCTGTTCTAACCCCTAGATAGCCTCTTGACAACACTGACCCCATCTCATGGTATAAAGCTATTGCCCGGGGGCTGTCCAGGTTCTGCCAGACCAGGACTTTCCTCATGGAGCCATCAAGGTTGCCCACTTCAATCCGGTTTGTTCCTGTATCTGTCCAATACATCTTCCTGCCAATAGCATCCACAGCCAGCCCATCAGTAGTCAACAGACCTGAGAAAACAGAAAGGTGTATTGGTATCCTCCCAGCTTAGCCAGGAGTTCTGGTATTCCCCTTGTGCACCTCATGAGGCAGACGCTTTAGCTTTGCTTGCCCTTCCACTGAAGACTTAAGAGATTATTCTAGCAAGGTACCAGAGAACCACTCTTTTCATGCTGCATGGGGGCAGGAGGCTCCCAGTCCAAACTCTCTCTTACCTGTAGTGATGATGTCCTCAAACTGTGAGCCATCAAGGGCAGCCCGGCTGATTTTCCGCAGTGTGCTGTCTGACCAGTAAACCTTTCCTGGGTGGAAGGAGAAAGAAACTTCTAAGAAGCCCAGAACAAAACCAAACCCCAACAACCAAACAGTAGAATCATAGAATAGTTAGGGTTGGAAAGGACATTAAGATCATCCAGTTCCACCCCCCTGCCATGGGCAGGGACACCTCACACTAAACTATGTCACCCAAGGCTTCGTCCCGCCTGGCCTTCAACACCATGGGTGGAGCATTCACAGCTTCTCTGGGCAGCCCATTCCAGTGCCTCACCACCCTCACAGTAAAGAACTTCTTCCTTATATCCAATCTAAATTTCCCCTGTTTAAGTTTTACCCGTTACCCCTTGTCCTATCACCACAGCCCCTGATGAAGAGTCCCTCCCCAGCATCCCTATAGCCCCCTTCAGATACTGGAAGGCTGCTATGAGGTCTCCATGCAGCCTTCTCTTCTCCAGGCTCAACAGCCCCAACTTTCTCAGCCTGTCTTCATACAGGAGGTGCTCCAGTGCCCTGACCATCCTCGTGGCCTCCTCTGGACTTGTTCCAACAGTTCCATGTCCTTTTTATGTTGAGGACATCAGAACTGCACACAATACTCCAGGTGAGGTCTCACGAGAGCAGAGCAGAGGGGCAGGATCACCTCCTTCGACCTGCTGGTCACGCTCCTTTTGATGCAGCCCAGGATACGGTTGGCTTTCTGGGCTGTGAGCGCACACTGAAGCCGGCTCATGTTCATTTTCTCATCAACCAACACCCCCAAGTCCTTTTCCACAGGGCTGCTCTGAATCTCTTCTCTGCCCAGCCTGTAGCTGTGCCTGGGATTGCTCTGACCCAGGTGTAAACTCCTTAAAAGTCAGATCCAGGTCTGCCTACCAGCTAGCACCATTCAAAACAGGAATTATCAGCAGCATAAGACTATTAAGTTAGAGTGATAGCTAGATGACAGCTAATATTTTCCTATCTGGACATTCCTTTCCTAACTAGAAAGGAATATCTGCAGCACATATGAGACAAAAAACCTACACAAATTTACAACCTACAGTAAGATCTGCACCTGGGTCTTTATTCAGATGTTTAGATAGGAAGTCACTTGTTGCCTTTCAAACAGTCAGATACATTAAGAAGTTCAGACCTTCACGAGGATCCACTCCAATTGCAATGGTGTTCTTCATGGTGACATTGACTGAGACAACAACATCTGCAAAGTAGGGAATATCCAGAGACACCATGCGGATGTCAGTCCTTCTGGCAAAGATCAGAAAGCTGGTCATTCCTGCAGAGAGGTGAAAATGGACAGGTATCAGTGAGGAACGAGTTCAGCCAACTGCAGGCATCATCAACTGAACATTCTGAAGGTGACATCCACTTCAGTGGAAAAGGGAAGTCTCAGACACATCTCAGCTTATGGGGACTCCAGGTACAAAAGCTTTACTGAGCGTTACTGAAAGCTTCTTTACATCCATATTGAAAATGAGGGACTCATAGAAATTACTTCTGCTCATATAGAAATGGGAATTAGAAGTCATTTTTTTCAGCTAAGGAAAAGAGTGGATATACCATGGCCTGAAGTCAAGTGTCTTCCTCAAACAGAGGGTCCATGGCAGGAATGTGTACAGACCTTACAGAATATAGCACCTTGTAGATAAAAAAGAATCTCCCTCAAGACTGAAGCACAAATAGGGAAAAATGTGACATCTGCTTTAGCTGCCCAGCATAATTTCAAGACATATTTGTTCTGCATCAATCCAGTATCAGTAAGTTTCTTCATAGTAATTCTAACTTGAAGGTACAGGAATCAAATGGGTTTTCCAGGGGATAAAGCAGATAAGCACATCAAAGTGAACTCTGTTCTCTAACAAGACAGGAGCAAAAGGCAGCTGTGATACAAAACTTCAGTGAGAACCCTACAGAAAGGACTAACCAGGGGAGCAGGTCTTGCCATCAGATTGCAGGTTGATCCCAGTAGGGCAGGTACAGCTGTAGCCTTTTGGAAGAGGTGCCAAGAGGCACAGGTGACTGCAGCCTCCATTGCCAACTTCACATGCTGTATGTACTATAGGAAAGAGGATGAGAAATCCATAAGCCAGTAGCACAAGCAAAAAAAAAGGGGGTGTAACAGTTACAGAAATGCATTCTAGAATGCCCTTAAATACCAAGCCAAGAGTTATTCTCACGCTCTCATATCCCACCCAGAGATTTAAGGCACTGAGGGCTGACAGACAGGTCAGCTCCTTGCAGGAGAGCTGTGCCATATACCAGAGCCTGAGCAAGGCTCAGTGTGGCTTGGGGTGAGCTCCGTACCTGCTGGCCTGTGTCGGTGGAAAACATGAATATCCATAAGATTCTCCAGGTTGTCCTGCAGCGTTTCCCGAGCCTGCCCAGTCCTTCTGTCTGCACTCTGGATGCTTTTGGCCTGCCAGTCTGTCCAGTAGATTCTCTCGCCATAAAGAGTAAGTCCAAAGGGGTGAGGCAGATTGCTCCCAATCAGCACCTGGGGAGATTACCCCCAACCCCCAAGGAAACATTACTAAGAAGTCACTAAGGGGACTTAGTTGCGCCCTCTCCACATCATAATGCAGAGTCACAGCAAAAGGAGAGTGATGGGGCAACATCAGCCCTCAAAAGGAGGCTCCCCTCAAATACAGTCTGCACAGGGAGCTCTTCTCTCCCAGTGAAAGCAGCCCAGCAATGCCTTGATTCGGAGATGTCACTTTCAACTGGAGAAAGAGGCAGGGGCCATCAGAACTCTGCTCTAGGACTTATACCTCCGGCTCCCAGACACCCTCCTCAGAAATGGCTCCCTTACCTTCCTGTTGCTTCCATCCAGATTGGCATACTCGATGGTCTTCATGCCTGCATCTGCCCAGTACAAGCGTTGTGACTCGTAGTCAATGGCCAGGCCATTAGGCCATGTCAGGTTGGAGGAAATGATCACCAGGCGGTTTGAGGCATCCATACCAGCACGCTCAATCTTGGGGCTGGCTCCCCAGTCAGTCCAGTACATGAACCTGAACACAAGCCCAGACAGAAGTGAGTGCCCACATTCCTTCACTGCCACTGCAGTCAGGCAGTGCCAGAGAAGCAAGGGAGCCTGGCGCCTTCAGGCCCTAGCAGGAAGCAGCACTGGGTTAACATGGTACTTATGTTCAGCCTTGGGTTCTTGTACCTAAGGATCATACTCAAATGTATATACCTTCTACTGCCCATGGGATGGCCTAATTACAACAAGGAGGAAAAAGTTCAAGATAATAGTTCAAGCTCTAAAAATTAATCAATTATTTACCAGTCTCCACTATTGGCTCTTTATACTCTTGCTGCATTGGTCTTCCAGTAACCCATTCAAGGAACGAATAGCATGCCTTTATTCAATACCTTCAGCATTTCTAAAGCAATGGCTGGAAAGCTTTTTCCTATTCACCCCATCCCCAGCTCCATAAGGTCTTCTGATTCAGAAGCAAAATCTGTTATTGAAACCATTTGCTTCTGTTACTCTACTCAGGTTTGCTGTCCATGCCACACCTGATCCCTCAATACTCTGAAAGAGTGGTTTGAGGCCAAGAGGCCACAACTGTGCTTGGCATCAACAGTAATTCACCCCATGGCAGGGGGGTTGGAACTAGATGATCTTAAGGCCCTTTCCAACCCTAAGTATTCTATGATTCTATGAGGACATCCTTCTGACTGAACTCTGGTTGATAAGCAGAGAGCCTAAACACAACTCCAACACAGATGTGAAATAAAGAAACAGAAAGGATCTAGATGGCCTCACTCGCAATAGGTTGTGTACCACATCTTTAGTTATGTCCCCAGAACAACCAAATAAAAAGTCCAGCCAGCTCCTGCAAGCCCTACAACATAACAAGCAATTATCCCTGCTTATCTTGTTCCACTAGCATCCAAAATTTCAGTCTTTGGCAGGATGGAGAACAATGGCACCACAGAAAGACAACTGCACAAAACCAAAGAACCTGAACTTGTTTAGACATGTGAGAATCACCAAGTCATTCCAGCAGAAAGAATCTCTCACCCTCCAACAGGATCCACCACGATATCTCTTGGTCTGTCTAGGTTCTCCCATATCAGAACAGTTCTCATGGTCCCATCTGTGTTGGAGACTTCTATCCGATCTGTTCCTACAGAAGTCCAGAAAGAGAATAAGAGATCAAAGTTCTTGTGATTTCAGAGATCTAAGGCAAAAAACATCCATATAACAATGCATTTTTTTTTCTCCATACATCTTTTCACAGGTGGAAGATAGGCAAGAAACGTGGCTCAAAGTGTCACCTGCCATTAGACCTCTCAAGTCACCTCTATGGCTGTCACTGATGCAGAGTCCTGTATGAATGTAAACCACCTCTTTCCTAAGCCTCAAGGTATCTATGTGGGCACAAGAGAACAGCTAAAAAAGAATCACCCCCCTTAGATCTATCTGAACTGTGACTTTCCAGCAGGGACCATCCTCCAAATACTTCCTGCTGCACCCTGAGATACACTGTTGGAAGACAGGCAAATGCACAGAAACACAAGGCAACAGTTGTGCTTGACTTTTACTACAACCCTTTCTACAGAATTAGTACTGGGGATACTGCAAAGAGAATTAAACTGAGGATTCTACCTCAACTCCCACTTTGTTAGAACGACACCAAAAACTCCATTTTTTGCTAGACAAAACCATGCAAACTTCAAATTAGACAGCACTACCCAGCTGATTTCCAGTTTTCATCAGTAACAAGGAAGACAGAAGCCTAGGGAAAGCAGAGGATCCCAGTACCTGCATCAGTCCAGTACAGCTTGTTGGTGACCCAGTCTATTGCCAGTCCAGCTGGACTTTCCAGGCTGGTGTCTACTACAACCTAAATAAAAACAAGAAAGAAAAAGTGCTTAGTGAGATTAGACCTTAAGGAGTAAGCACTTGGCCAGTGTGTTATGCATTCACTAACAGTGCTAACTTTCAAAAAGGCAAAAGCCCAAGCAAAGCAATGCCATACAAGCGAGTATTAAGGCCTCAGAAGTTCAAATTAATCTTCTATTTAGAGAAATATCTATTTTTCAAGTCTGTTCAAACTGCAACTCCAGACTTTCAACTCTTTTCCCCTGTGGCACGTTAGCCTAAGGACATGCGCAAGAAGCATTCCCAAGGAGCATGGCTCTTGTTCCAAATGTAGTACATAACAGAGGATTAAATACTTCTTCCTTTCAGATTTTAGGGGTACAACAAAGGAACTGGGAACAGCTCACAACTGCAACATGCTCTGTGTCCCAGTTCAAGGTTTGTCATACCAGGAACACGCACCAAACTTCATTTATGAAGTGTTCAGTGACCTCAGGGCTCTTCTGAGCCAGAACGAGGCAAACCAGTGAAGCTCCTTAGAAGACCAGTGTATCCCAGTGCCTTCAAATCTGATGCTCACAGAGTTTCCTGGCCAGATGACCGCCCCACGTAGTTAACACTGTACCTCCTGGCTCGATCCATCCCATTTTGCTCTGCTGATTGAGTCGGTGCTAACGTCTGTCCAGTAGACATAGTCATCCTTTGAGTCCCAGTCTAGAGCCACAGCGCTGCGAACATCAGCAAGGGGAATGACATCATCTGACAGGTCATCTGTGTCAAAGCTGATCCGACGGATGTCCATCCTTCGGGCAAAAAGCAGGAACTTGTCAAGACCTGATCAAAGGTCGAAAGGTCTTCTTTTAATTTCTCTAAGTTCAACAACACAGTGATAGACACAGACAATTCCCTGCTACAGCCAACCTTAACCACTTCCATCACCTCTCACTGGCAGGTCACAGCCCAGGATTTTACTGGTAGCAAAACATCACTGGGTGGGATAGGTGGGCAGGGGTGGGGACAGAGTAGTAGGGAGCTGTTTCCTGGGGGTAGCCTATGGTGGGGAAACAAAGTCAACCAAGGAACGGCTCAGACCTCCCTCAAATGAAATAGCCATTTGAGAATAGCTCCTGAGAATCTAGGAGACAGTTGGCCTAATTCTTCCACATGGCTGCAAACTGAGAGAAACTGTGGCAATTAAGAGGACTGGACTTTTTGTTCATCACTGACACAGCTCCTATGGGCATTCTAGGGAAACAATCAGCTGTGACAAGTAGAGTGGCACCAATAGCAGCCCTGAAATAAGGATGCAAAGTTGGAGTTTCTCTGGATCCCCACCCATCAAACTTAGTGAGGGCTTGCAGAACAGGGGAATGCATCAAGAAGGTGAAGAATCCTCCGGTGGGGCCCTCAATACTATTAACTCAGTCTATCCAGCTGCATCTCCTTGGAAACAACTTGATGCTGCTTTTACTCCCCTTGCCAACCAACCCTCTGCCACCCTCTGAACATCCGCGCATGCGGGCTGTGGTCCCACCTCACTTACTCTGGGCGCAGGCATGGCTGCTGGTCTTGCGGAAGCCCGTGGGGCAGGCGCAGGTGTAACCCTTGCTGCTCGGCAGGCAGAGGTGAGTACAGCCCCCGTTGTTGGCCCCACAACGGTTTCTCCCTGCTCAAGTAGCCAAAGACAAAAACAACCACGCATAAAGCAAAGAGTAAAGAGTATAAACACCAACCAAAGTGGCAAGAGCCTGTAATTTGTCTACCCAGAGGTTAATTGAGATTAAGGAAACATAAACTAAAGCACTAACTCCATTTGTAGGGCTCAACTTTAAAACAAAGCATTTAACTCAATTCAATTCTAGATTATGGCAACTAAAAAGGATTAAGGGAGGTGTCAGTCATTACTAGTGCCCATTTGCCGTTTATTCCCTCTCCCAAAACGGTTCTTAGCTAAAGAGGCCACAACTGTTTGCTACTGAAAAGTCTCCCCTTCCATATGGCAGCAGAGGGAGCTGTGGTAACACCTAACACCAGGTTACCAGGGCTGAACTGCCACATGGAGCAAGCTCTCCACCAGCTATGGACAGAGGTGGTGGCTGTGTCGACAGGCTGGGTTCAGGCCTGCCATCTCCCTGTTTTACAGGTGGTGGGTGACAGCAGGTCTTCTAGCAGCTAACATGGGTCTCTACCTTCTCTGCAGTTACCTGCTGGCTGGCGCTGAGGATGCAGTGTGTGGATGTCCATAGGGAAGTGCAGTTTGTTGCGGATGATCTCCTGGTTCTTGCCTGTGAATTTGTTGGCACTGTTGATGCTCTTGGTGTGCCAGTCTGTCCAGTACAAACTGTCCTCAAACACAGTGATAGCAAATGGGTGTGGAAGGCCTGTAACAGACATCCAATACAGGGATATAATCAGGTCCAACAGGACTCAGGCTAGCAGGGAGATGAGGGAACGGTCTTTCCTCTGCTCATTGGGCCTTGCCACAGTCAACGTGGGCAACCCACCTTACACTAATACAACAGACAACTTCTCTCTCTTATCCACTAAACACTACGTAGCAAACCCCATCTCCCAGTGGTAACAGAATTCATCCCACAGTGAAAGGAGACAAGTACAGAAGCAGAAGCCACTGGCTCAGAGTAGCATTGTGCTACTGTTTTCTTTACTGGAGAGAGCACTCCCTGTACAAAGCTCCGTTACTTACCCTGGCTAATAACAGCCTTTCTATTCCGCCCATCGAGGTCAGCCCTCTCAATGACATGATGCTTGGCATCCACCCAGTACATTCGATGTCCTGCATAGTCAATGGTCAGCCCATTGGGCCAGAAGAGGTGTGTATCCGCAATGATGCGTCGATTAGAGCCGTCCATGTTGGAATACTCAATGCGGGGAGTGTTGCCCCAGTCAGTCCAGTAGATAGTGCTGAAGGATGCAGGGAGAGACAAGCTTTAAAACTCATGTCCCACATACTGCACCCACCATTACTCCCTATCAGGGCAAAACAGTTATCAGTCCTGTGACTTCGAGCATAAGACTGGGTTGCAGCCATGGGAGAAGTGTCAGCCAACATGGTAACACCCAATGCTTTCACACTGGTGAAACCTGAGGGGGTCAAAACAGGATTAAGGCTCTGAAAGCCTCAGCATTGCCAGGTTCCCCAAACCGGCAATATCAAATGAAAGCTTGAACCCAGAGCCTTTGTGACCAGAGATGGGATTTTCAATGGTCACCTGGAAGCACCTACATTGAGTGATCACTGGGGTCCTATGCTTTCACTCACCCCTCCATAGGATGTAGAGCAATGGCTCGTGGCTTCTCCAGGTTCTGCCACAACAGCACTTTCCTGTGAGTCCCATCCAAGTTTGCTACTTCAATTCGAGATGTCCCAGAGTCTGTCCAGTATAATTTGTCATGGATCCAGTCAATAGCAAGTCCACCTATCTCCAGGGGAGAATTAAGAGCAGAATGAAGACAGGAGCAGGATTTGCTCAGAACAGTAGTTCTCATAAGAGGCTCAATTCAATCCTCCTGTCTCTTCCCCCATCAGCCAAGATTAACTCCATGGGGATAGTGATCTAACCCCCATTCCATCCAGCCTCTCCCCTTGCTCAGGGAGATGCACTCCACTTTGAATGCTGGGTACCCACTTTTCTCCACTCACCCACCCATGCTCTCACATCATGCTCAGCCCTCAGGCTTTTGCCTTTTTCTGTGGTGACGCACCTGGGCTCTCCAGCCCTGTGGAAACCACCTCCTCCACATTGCTCCCATTCAGATTGGCCCTCATGATGCGATCCAGAGTGACATCAGACCAGAACACCAGCTCCTTGCTGTGGTGGAAGTCAAGGGCAATGGCATTTTCCAGGTTGTTCAGCAGCAGGGTGTACTCTGAGCGATGAGGCAGCACTTGTCGGATATCGATTCGATTGGCAAAGAGCAGCACTGGCTCTGGCCCTGAGAGCACATGGGAAGACAGCATTAGAGTACTTGTACAGGGTTCTGCCCAGCATTCCCTCTGCACCAAGTCCCAGAACATAGTTATGTGGTACTGGCAGCAAGAGATCAGCTCCCAAGCCTAAAACACTTCAGAGAGCTGTTTTCCCACCCTCAACACAGAGTCCTAACTCAAAGATGAGCAGTTTTAAGCCTTTTGGCAAACATTCACTCAGCAAGAAGCAATCATTCCGCCCTCACCTCAGCCTCTGAAACCATACCACTAGGCAGCCACTTGGCAGCTGGTTTACAGCTTCCTTTTCCTGTATCTATCACGTGGCCATACAAACACACAAGCTTTACCACATCTTCTGCCACAAACAAGACACAGTTAAAATCTGCCTGAGAGAGAGAGAAACTCAGCAGGTAACTCCATTGCAGAGGGAAAAACCCAAAACAACCACATAACCAAAAAAACCCCAGTGTCAACATCCTCCAAGGAGGACATGGACCTGTTAGCCACAAAATGACCAGTGAGCTCTGAAGCACCTCTTGTATGAAGACAGGCTGAGAGAGTTTGGCTTATTCAGCACAGGGAAGCCCTTAGAGCAGCTTCCAGTGCCTAAAGGGGATGAAAAGAAACCTGGAGAGGTACTTTTTGCAAGGGCCTGTAGGGACAGGATAAGGGGGAATGGCTTTAACCTGACAGAGCGGAGATCTGGGTTAGATATTAGGAAAAAATTCATTATTATGAGGATGCTGAGGCACTGGCACAGGGTGCCCCATCCCTGGCAGTGTTCAAGGCCAGGTTGGACGGGGCTTGGAGCAACCTGCTCTAGTGGAAGGTGTCCCTGCCTGTGGCAGGGGTGTGGAACTGGATGAGCTTTAAGGTCCCTTCAATCCAAACCATTCTGGGATTTCTTATGGATTTCATTAGCAGAATTCAAATGAAATCTTAATTCTGTAAATGGAATTTCTAATTTCTCAGCTCCTACATTTAGAGGAGCTGAGGAATAAAATTAAACAAGTGTACAAATGCCCTTAAAACCACCAGATGTCCATTCAGCAGCCACTCACAGCATTCAGGACTGGTGATCGGGATCAAGGGTCAAACCACAAGGAGACATGATACAACCTCACTGACTGGAAAGGTTAAGACACCTCTTGAGTAGAGACAGAGGCAGGTTTTGTCCCAGGATCTGGGTCACCAAGAATGACAAGGCACTAGGAAAAGGCAGCAAGGGCTGTCCTGCTGGCAGGGAAAGGTGTATCTTTGCTCGGTCAAAACCACACAGCTTTCATGGGCATACACCAACAACCTGGCCATATCTAAATACAAATCCAGGTCCTACACCTGGGTCGGAGCAATCCCAGGCACAGCTACAGGCTGGGCAGAGAAGAGATTCAGAACAGCCCTGTGGAGAAGGACTTGGGGGTGTTGGTCAATGAGAAAATGAACATGAGCCAGCTTCAGTGTGCGCTTGCAGCCCAGAAAGCCAACTGTATCCTGGGCTGCATCAAAAGGAGCGTGACCAGCAGATCGAAAGAGGTTCCTGCCCCTCTACTCTGCCCTCATGAGACCTCACTTGGAGTATTGTGTGCAGTTCTGGTGTCCTCAACATAAAAAGGACATGGAACTGTTGGAACAAGTCCAGAGGAGGCCACGAGGATGATCAGGGGACTGGAGCACCTCCTGTATGAAGACAGGCTGAGAAAGTTGGTGCTGCTCAGCCTGGAGAAGAGAAGGCTGCGTGGAGACCTCATAGCAGCCTTCCAGTATCTGAAGGGGGCATATAGGGATGCTGGGGAGGGACTCTTCATCAGGGGCTGTGGTAATAGGACAAAGGGTAATGGGTTAAAACTTAAACAGGGGAAGTTTAGATTGGATATAAGGAGGAAATTCTTTACTGTGAGGGTGGTGAGGCACTGGAATGGGCTGCCCAAGGAAGCTGTGAATGCTCCATCCCTGGCAGTGTTCAAGGCCAGGTTGGACAGAGCCTTGGGTGACATGGTTTAGTGTGAGGTGTCCCTGTGCATGGCTGAGGGTTGGAACTGGATGATATTACGGTCCTCTCCAACCCTAACTATTCTATGATTCTATGATTCTACTTCCTTATCCTCACACGTTGGCTTGGTGAACAGCACAATGCTGGCAGTGAAACATTCCAGACAAAATAATGAGAGCTGGACCAACACACACACCCCAGAAAAGGTTAAACTCATCTTTACCTAGAGCTTTGCAGCTACGCTTGTCAGGCCGCAGCTCGTAGCCTTGCTCACACCAGCACTGGAAGCCTCCTTCGCTGTTGGTACAGCCTTGGCTGCAGTAACCTTCCTCAGCACATTCATTCACATCTGCATGTTACAGACAAAGGGAGAAGGTTACCACTGGATCCTCAACAAGCAGGCAATGTCACCGATGGCTTGCTTCTGCTTTCATGCTCTGATTCGCACCCTATCACAACCATCAACTCCGAGCACATCAAAGCAGCAGGGGGGAAGTTGCTGCTCCAAAACCCCACCTTGGCACGATCGACCATCTTCCAGGAGCCTGTAACCTGTGTGGCAGGTGCACTGCACCATCCCTCGTACCATCTGGCACTTCTGAGCGCAGCCACCGTTGTTGACGTTGCAGTTCTCCTCCCCTGTTCGTGGACCTGTGAATGGAACAGGTGAAGATAACTGAGCTGAAACCACAAGGCAGCTGCTTGTGTCCTCAACTGTTAGGCAGCAGTCGCCCTTCAGAACAGGCTGAGCAGGAGTGGGAGGACACAGGCTGCGCTGGAAGCTGCCTCTTTGCAGTCAGAGCTCTCCCCTGCAAGCCACAACTAAAAGGGACAGACAACAAAGACAGACTGACACCCAAGATCTTTTCCCCATTATTCCTTGTCTGCAGTATGTAATTGGCAAAACCACTAAGGCCTTTCTCCCCAGTCTTCATCTCTCTCCCATTATCACAACCCAGGCTTTCTTCCTTACACATATCCTGCAGCAGCACCAGATAGACTCCCACACATCACACTGCCTCCATTTACGTTTAAGGCTGCACTTGGAAGACTTACGGCAGTTCTGATGTGGGCTCTCATCACTGCCATCTCCACAGTCATTTGCTCCATTGCACAGCTTCCTCTGGCCAATGCAACGCCCGTTCCCACACAGGAACTGGTCTGGGGCACACTGAGGGGTCCCTGCAATAGAAGAAGAGGAAAGTAAGCACATCATAGTTTACCCATAGAACAACAGTCATGATAAAGAAAAGAATACAGAATATTTTCTAAGATTTATTAAAATCTCTGTATATGAGCACAAATCCATGGCTTTCTCTTTCCTTGAATTGAGCTCATCTCACACTCCTTATTGCTCCTTTATGCTGATTTGGAGGCCTGAAAACTCCCCTCCTGACTGACCCCACTGTTGCTTTACTGGGAAGTTTAGCTATTTAGTTTCTCTCAGAATGACTGGAAGGTTCTGGCTTAGCTCCCTTTGCTTCCAGATTCCATGACCCAACTCAGCATGTGCAAGAGAGGAGTCAGTTCCTCACTTTAATCATCTGATATGTCACCCAGCATGGCTATGGATCTTAAATCTGCCTAGGAATGAGCATCTTGTCCAGCCCTAACCGCACTGTGATGGACCTGGAATGAGATTTACAAGCATCCTTGAAATGTGAGCTCAGGCAACAGGATTTCACACATGAACTACACTCTTCTGCTGTTGGCAGGGAGATGCACCAGAATTCTTATAAGCAAAGTCATACTGTTCAGAGGGACTTTGCCCATCCAACTGCTTTTTCAGCAGTAACTGCACTGTCCTGTTGCCTCTTAAATCTTGTACCTCTTAAGATGACTCAGTTAGTGGTTTCCAAATCATCACCCTCTGATAATCCCAGGAAGACAACAGGACAATACAGTTGTCAGCAAAGAAACAATGAGATTGGCAAACTGCCTGTAAGCAGCATGGAAAAGGGCAGTTGTGAGATTAACAAGTACAACTAAGAACTGACAGACACACCAAACAGGAACATAAAACCAAATCCCATGCAGATTCACTAATCAGAGCACAGGAATGCTTTATGCGAAGGATTCTGGAACTTGGACTGTGGATCTGTCATATCAATGTCATATAATGATCCTTACATCAGCTGATCTCTTTGTATTCTAGACATCTTCTGTGCCAATAAAAACACAATTCTGCTCTAAATCCAAGAGGTGACACAGGATTTCAACTCTTCCTACAGACATGCAGACAGCACACTACTTCACATAGACTACCCAGTACACAGCCTGCTTGGAAGCCCCAAGTTATTTTTTTACTTGCTGACTACCACCATAGACCTAATGCAGAACTGGACTGGATACAGATTGGATATAAGGAAGAAGTTCTTTACTGTAAGGGTGTTGAGGCACTGGAATGGGTTGCCCAGGGAGGTTGTGAATGCTCCATCCCTGGCAGCGTTCAAGGCCAGGTTGGACAGAGCTTTGGGTGACATGGTTTAGTGTGAGTTGTCCCTGCCCATGGCAGGGGGGTTGGAACTGGATAATCTTAAGGTCCTTTCCAACCTTAACTATTCTATGGTTCTATGATTGTATGAATCACACAACTGACTTCATAGTAACAATAGCTGTTATCAACCACCTTGGGTTTGATTTGGGGTAGAGAGGTTGAATTTCAGTGCCTGTGGAAGTCTGACTTGGCTTCTGGGTGGCAACTGTTCTCTTAATCCCTTATAAATACCTTTATTATCAGGATGAAGAAACAGGGTTATTAGTTTGTCTTTAAGTACTATTGCTTTTTCCAGGAGCACCATCATCTCCTGCACACTGGTGCTCATGACAGCTGACCAGTCTAGAGCAGCTGCTCTCAAATGCCTACAACGTGTGCCTCTCCAGGTCCTCTGAGCTCAGTTTTCCTTGTAGAACACCCACTCCCCCTCCTCAACAGGCCCCAACAAGGCGTACAAATCCCTTCTGTCACCCCTAAACTCACTGTTTAAAATACACTGATCCAGAAAGGTCAGTATGTGCAACTGGGCTTCACCCACAGGGATGAATTCATGGACCAGTACATACTATTCCTCAACAAGGCCTACAGACATCCTGAACGATCTGAGGAAAACAGAAGGTTCTAGAGATTCTTTCAATCCTAGCATAACACTAGGGTCTGTTGAAACCCTCCTCTTCTCCATTGCCACTGTTATCACAGAATGAATCATTGAACAGTTAGGGTTAGAATGGACCTTAAAGCTCATCCAGTTCCAACCCTTCGTGTCATGGGCAGGGACCCTTCCCACTAGACCAGGTTGCTCCTAGCCCTTTCCAACCTGGCCTTGATTCAACCTGGCCTTTTATTATATAAAGCAATGGCTGTATGTGAAAAGGAGGACTAGGAAAGGGAGACTCCTGAGCAAATATTAAGGGGGAAGCTGACCACCCTTAACTTCTAAACCAGAGGCTTTATTCCTCACTTCCACAAAATGCACTTTTTCATTCCACTGCCTGCTAGAATTCCTTTGCAACTTCACAAGGCAACATGAAAGCTATCCAGAACTATGCACAAGGCATGAGTTATACATAGTCCATTTGACAAAGGTAACAACTTTGCACATTATTAATGTTTCCAAGTCTGAACGGAATCACCTCTGTGGTAATTCACAATGTAGGGACAAGACAGGAAGGTACAGAGGCCTCATATTTGACCAGAAAACACCATCACTTTAGTTTAAGCATACAGACCTGAACCTGTTTGCAAGCACTTAAGATAATCTACAGCTCACATTCTTTGGGAAGGGTGGAAACTCTAGGCTGAACTCAATGAAGCAATCAAAAGACTTCACTACCTATTACCCCCATGACGGAAGCATCAGCTATAAGTAGCAAGGCAGCAAGCCAAACCTGTGTTCTCACAGTTCTCCTCATCACTGTTGTCAGAGCAGTCATCTTCCCCATCACAACGCCAGGACAGACGGACACATCGCCCTGATTTACAGCGGAACTGGTCAGCTGTGCACATAGATGCAGCTGGGGGACCAAAGGAAGAACATTAGGTGAGCAAGAACGATCAGAAGAGACCCAATTCCAAGGCTAACAGTCCCAAACGTTCTTGCGTCTGCAGAAACCCCAAACACTCCCACCAGTTCCCAGCACTCACTGCAGTTCCTCTCATCTGACTGGTCATCACAGTCAAAGTCTCCATCACACCTCCAGCCAGCATTAATGCACAGGCCACTGTTGCACATGAACTCTCCAGAGCGACAAGGCTGATGAGATGCTGCAGAGATAGGAAAGAATATAAAGAGCAAACTCAGACCAGTGTAACATCCCTACACCCCCACAGCACTACCCTTGCACTTCACTATTGTGGAACTTGGTCCTGAACAGACTCCTCCTGGATACTGCTATAATATCCACACAAGGAACTGTGCTGATTACACATCACAATTCTCACTGTCCAGATTTAAATTCAAATTAAATAGTGAAAGAGTCATCTTAGGCAATGAGATTGCTGTCTACACTGCAACCCTTCTCCAACCAATGTAAAAACAAACTCACATGTTTAGAGCAGTTCATCACCCTGCATTTACTTACAGCAGTCAGATTCATCAGACCAGTCCCCACAGTCATCATCGCCATCACAGTGGTAGATGTCCAAGATGCAACGGCCATATGCACACTGGAATTCCTCCAAGCTGCAGGTGGCAGCTGGAACATCTGATGCTAAGAAGGGAATCAAAGAAAAAATGCCTGAGGTGACAGGGCACAATCCAGTTTAGACGCAACCATCTCACAGTCTAATGCCAGCGTAGTAAGGATTCAGTGATGACTAGCCATTGCTGCAGAGCTCTGCATGACTTCATTACTGACAGGAACTTGAATGCTGTTTGTGCTTCACTGAGGGGCAGGTTAAACCTATATATAAGGACACTTATACAAGCTATCAACTAAAAATAATAATAAATAAAAAGGATGTTAGCCTATAAACATTAACTTTTCAAAACCCATTAAGTTGTAAAGAGGAAACAGCTATGAAGAAGGAAGATTTGATGGGAAAGCAACAAAAAGGATACAAGAGTGCCAAATACCACCTTATGCTTGAGACAGTATGTCCTAGTGCTTAACAGTGTTTAAACTCTTTATTAAACCTGGACAAAATAGATACAAAACCAGATGGCAAAATAAAGATACCCTTTGGGTATCTTCATATTAAGGATTGAGGCACATCAGAGTGCAAGGTATGGAATGAGTCCTTTACAACTTGAACCAAAATAAGCACTTGAAGGCCAAAGGAAGGAGGCAAGAAGCACAATGCCCAGGTATGCACCTGACCTTTGAGGATTTCCCCTCTCCTTTTCCTCTCAAGCTGTCATGACGTTTGTCTCAACAAACCATGCCGTATCAGTAAGGAGCAAAGCCAGACAGATTAACCCTGGGCAAAGGCCAACAGAGTCAAGGATTTGCCCACTGTTCTCTGTTCAACAGTGTGGAAAGGGATGAAAGATATTCCGAGTCCTACACAGCAAAACCTGACACCTTTTCTCATACTCTCCAGGGAATGAACTGCATGTTTGGGACACACGAGTCTTCCAACTGAGTGCTCTCAAAATAAATCCATTAAGCAAAAGGGGAAAGAAAGACTGACATGAACTGCACATGAAGTAGTTGGTACAGCCTGCAGGCATACAATAAGGACTTCAGTGAGTATGGAGTAGCTGGATGCTACATTGTGAGTTAATGCGCACCTCACCAAAGGAGCCTGAAAGGAGCACTTGGATCTCCTTGAGGAGAGAATTAAGTCAGTGATTTAAATTCTCATGTAGTGTGATTCAATTGTAACACACACACCTTCCAAAGGGAATGCACATTCACTGAAACAGCCAAATGAAATGTGAAACCCATAAAACACACACAAAAGAACAGTGTAGTCCCATCTTGCCCTAGATGAATGACAGCAGGATTGGAGATACAGAAAAGATGACAGCCACATGAAGGAAGATAAGAGAAAGGGCTGTAGTCAAAGTGGGCATCTTAGCTTCAATAGCTATAAAATGCCTTATAGAGACAACTGCCAGCCAGATCTGGAGAAGCATCCCAGGTTAGAGAAGCAGGGGCACCAGTTCTGAGTGCCCCTCCACTCCCATAGGAGGCAAGGGTGAAACATCTCCCTTCCCTTCCCAAGGGCCTATTCATGGCCTGCAGGGAAGTGACAGGCAAGGGAGAGGAGGGAAAAGAGAGGGAGGGAGGGAGGTTGGCTTCCTCTTGGAGCCCCTTCCTGGCTTAGAAACGTCCGCAGCCCCTGGCTCCCTGCCAGCTCTCATTATCTGGAGAGATAAAAGACAAGTCCCCCATGCATCCACTCCCCTGCCCTTGAGGAGCGGGCGGCCCCGAGCCCCCTCCCAGAGCCTTTTGAAGTTTCCTGCTATCTAGAACAAATTCTGCACGGCGCCTGCGAGCGCAGCGTGGGGGAAGGGACCACTGTGACTTCCACAGACACAGCACACAGGCAGCGGGGGCAAGGAAGGGACATAACAGACCCCCCTGCCCCACTTGCTGCAAGCCGGTGAAGGCAGAGGGGAAAACAACTGTTGTGGGCTCTCAGGGTGCCTCATACCCCATCAGTTACTTTTCAGGTGCATAAAGCATCGCAGTAAGGAGAGGTTGGTCAGGTAGACAGCCCCTGCAGCTGGGGATGTGCAGTCCCTGAGGATGCTGTGTGTGTTTCCCCCCCTGTTTCAGGCAGGAATCAGGCAAGAGGAGAAAAAGGAAATAGTTTTCTCCCCTTCCCTCCTGCCCTCCAACTCCTATGGTTTTATACAGAGGTGTGTATTCAGTAAAGCAAAAGCCTCCTGCTCTGACTCAAGGTCACACAGGCATGGGAAGGAACAGCAAAGCAGCCAGGCACAGATGAAGTATGCCTGTGAGGTAACACAAGAGATACACCATTCTCTTGTGCCCTCTGGGGTAAGCAACAGAAGGCAGCATAGCTGCCAGTACAGGCAGGACTAACTTGTTTTTGATCTCTGCTGCAGAAAACGTGCCAAACCCCAAAGACAGGAGCAGGTCCAAAGGCTATTTCCTGTGGTTACGAAGCAAGGAGAGCACTTACGGCAATTCTCTTCATCCGAGCCATCCTTGCAGTCTGTGTCACCATCACAGAACCAGTGCTCAGCTATGCAGCTCCCGTCACTGCAACGGAACTCCTTCTCCGAGCACTTTCTCATATCTGCAGAGACAATAATGCAAACGAAGGCTTGAGTTTTCTCAGAGCAGCCAGGAAACAACCATCCCCTGCTCCTGAAGGTCCCGGGGCACCCACGGACAAGACTGCTTGTGAAACCATACATACCCACCTCATGCAGTGCCTGAGCAAAACCATTACTGCTTATTTAACTGACATGGAGTGCTGGATTCAAAAGGAATCCATAGGACTTCATAATGATATGTCAAGGAGTAGCACATCTCAAGTGATTCCTGCCTGGCAAGTAAGCCACACAGCCTGAGGTCCCAAGCAGCCAGCCCATGGATTATCCCACAAGCCCAGCCCAGCCAAGCCAGATGGAAGCCCTCACTATGCTCAGGGCATCCCAGAACTGCACACGCTGGAATCTGGATTACCCCCTTTAAAGCCCTGGCAGGGCAGTACTTGTAGGACCTCACTACTCACCACACTGTTCATCGCTGTTGTCGCCGCAGTCGTTGTCACCATCACAGTGCCACAGGCTGCGGATGCAGTATCCGTTCTGACATGAGAACTCATCTTCCTCACACTCCCGTGGAGCTGCAGGGACACGATGGAGAGAAGGTGAAGACAAGGCAAGAAGATTTACCTTTCAGAACACCAGATCCATGATGTTACAAATGCAGCAACATCATTCTCCAAGGACACCACCACGTTGGAGAGCTGATTTCCCTTCTCTAACAATACCAGGAAAGCCACTGAGAGGTTTATTGAGTGTCTTTCTTCCACTCCATCCATAAGTCAATAGCAGAGCAGGCTCTAAACCTGAGAACATGGGTTGGAGAAAGCACCTGGCACAAAACAATGGAGCCACCCACAGGATTCTAGCATAGCTCCAAGCCAGGCTCAAGAGATCCCTGCACAGAAAAAAGGCAATCAGCCCTCTTTTTAAAGGAATTAATAGGCTCTATCATTACCTAACAAATAATTGCTGGTAGGATTATATCTCCACCTTCTTTTCACAGTGATGCCAAAGCTATCTTCAAAGGAAAGGAAATGTTCATTGGAAATGAAAAGAGAAAATTTAAGCATGAGGGCATCCCAACTTCTTCTGAGAAACAGAAGGCAAAACAGACCCAGACTACAGAACCCTCCTTTCACAAAAATCATTGAACAGGCTGGAAAACTGAGCTTAGTCCTGCAATCCAGAGCTCACACAGGATCATAGAGCCATAGAAAAGACGTTAAAGCTCATCCAGTCCCAACCCCCTGCCACAGGCAGGGACACCTTCCACTAGAGCAGGTTGCTCCAAGCCCAGTCCAACCAAAGCCAACTGAACAATGCCAGGGATGGGTGTCAAACCCCAGACCCTTGCTTCCCAGGCCATTCTCCAAAAGGGCAAGCAAAGACCAGGGGCATAGTGACCAAAAAGTGAATTCATTTCCACACAAGTGTTGGACATGGAATACTTGACAGCCAAGAGCTTGAATTTTTGCATTTCTTGAGATGCGGTCCCTCCATCAGAGCCACTCTGGAGCATTGTGCTTTGTAGAATCCAAGGGCTGCAGAGTGATGATTATTAAGCAGCTGCAACCATCTCAATCAGACAGCAAAGCAGGTCTGCTCCCAACTGCAGCCTGATGCTAGCCCTGGTAATCAGTGCAGTTTCAACACAGCTGAACCCCAGTGCTATATAACACGCTGGTTCTCTGGCACATGCTGCCAAGTATGGACCCGATTTGTTGTAGAGGAAGTCATATCCCTGAACACCTTTGTTAATGGAAATCAACCACAAGTAACCCCTGTCCTCAACACAAAGGGGAAACAAGGGGCTGAACTCTGAAGACTCAGGCAAAATTCCCTCCATTTTAATGGCACAGTGGAAGTGTTCACAGCAAGCAGCCTGCCATGGACGCTCTCGTGAAGATGATGCCTTGCACGGCAGCACATAGTCAGCTTTCAGGGTAACTACACTTGCCTGGGGAGCATCTCTATAGCACCTCCCTCTCCTCAGGGAGCTCTGTTTGAAGGGAGAGGATGCTGGGGACAGCCCAGCCCACGAGAGAAGTCATCCAGTGGAACCTGAGGCCACAGGAAGTCAGCCAGACAGGCAGCTCAGGAGGATTTGGCAGGGGTGAGGTGTTTCCACGAACAGGGGAGGACATGAAGAACTTAGGGAAGTGCTTCATGGGACATTAACCAGCAGGGCTGCAGGGCATAAATGGTTCTCCAGTTGGATGGAGAAGCATCCCCTCCTCCGGGACATGTAGCTGAACAGCAAACCATGTGCCAAGGTATCAGGACCTAGGGACATCAGGTACACACACCTCTGTTACAGGCTATAACAAGCCAAAGGCCTGATTCAGTGGCTAAACTCTTACATTCCTGTACTAAAAAAGGTCACCTTTGCCCAGCCATGGTGGGCAGGCACTGCAGCCACCCTCTCCCCTCACAGAAGTGACTTACGGCAGTCCTGTTCATCGGAATCATCCTCACAGTCATTGTCTCCATCGCAGACCCACGACCGGCGGATGCACTTCCCGTTGTCGCAGTGGAAGTCCAATGGGGAGCAAGTGGGCAGCACTGCAACAGCAAAGAAACACCTAAAGGAGCTGCAGCTAGCTTCCTTCCTGACAGCAGAGCTCCTTCCCTCCTGAGGGAGGAGAATACACCTCTTAGGAGAGGAAGAGCTGCTCCTCAGATGGGGCCGGGGCAGGGCTGCAGCTTGGCAGTCTCTCCTCCCCAGGGAAGCACTGACCTTCCCACAATAAAGTAGCTGCCACAATTCCCCCACTGAGTTCCTTTTGTCTCTTTCATCCCTGAGCCTGCTGTCCTCCCATAACTGCACTTATTTTAGAACAAGCTAAATTACACTATCAACATCTTTCCTGCACGCTTCCCAGTGAAGTCCATCCTGTTTCTACTGCACAGTGAGATCTTTAAAGCAAGAACTATCAGAAGCAATGTTTTTGGGAGCAGGACTTTGCAAGGTGCATGCAAAGTGAGTGTTCCAGCATAGGAACTCTACCAGCATTTTTATCTAGCCTGCAAGGAAAAGCTTAGAGGCAGGAATCCACTGCTGGGGATAATTTGCTGTACCTCAGGTGTGGACAACAGAGTCCAAACCTGGCCTCCAGAAGGGCCAGAGGAAGCGGGCAGATGTGGGATGGTGCTTGCCTACGCAGGAGCCTGCTGGCAATGGGGCAGAACCACAAATCCACAGTGTTTGAAGAGGCCTGGAGCCACAAAGCTGGAATTCAAGGGGCAGCATCAGCCCTGTCCTTCCCCCCACAGATGAGAGGAACACTCAACCCCAGGAGGTTTATGCTTTTAAGTGCTGCCAGATGTGGTAGGGAAGGGGCTGCACAAGGCTGCTCCTGGCAGGTGTGTTCTCCCAAGAACAGTGTTGGCTCAGCAATGCGAAGGGGCAAGGGCTGGAGAGCCTGAAAGGTTCCTGAAACCCTTTCATCCCAGCCCAGCTTGCTGACAGCATCTCCCATCTGTCACCAGGCAGACCAGCCCTCCGCTGCTATGCTGCTGCTGCTTCCCCTGCCAACACTACCCTGGAGGTGGGAGCACGAGGGGAGGGAGGCAGGTAAAAGAAGAAGGTGAAGACAGCAACCACACACGCGAGGAGGAGGATTTAACAGGGAGAACAAGTAGTCACATTTTCAGCTTTTCCAGCTTCCTGAACCCTCCGCTTCCCCTTGGCTCAGGACTGCTGCCAATGTCCTGTGAGAGCAGCAATGGATTACATTATACAGAATCATTCACTGCTCACTATAGCAAGTCCTCCAAAATTTCTCATCGAGGGCCTATACTAAAAACTCCACCCCCCAAGAACACACTGGTGCAGTTAAAGCCAGACTTGCTCTAACATCTCTTTTCCTAACCACAAATTCAGATCATCTTCTCAGCCATCCCTGTAGCATGGCAGTGTAGGCATCTCTGTATCTGAGAGCACATCACTGCTCTCAACACAGAACCCTGTGCTATGTAACCAAATACAGAATCTGGCGCTGGCCCTTGGAAAAAGGTTCTTCCCATCCTGTTCAGGGTGCCCCATGCAGATGTATGTTCAGGTCAGCCCCAGCTGCTTCTAGGTCCCAAAGAGGAATGAAGGAGAGGAAGGATACAGATCTATGTTCACTGTACAGGTCTGACAGCACTCTGCTCTTCTAATGGCTGACCCACTTCCTTACACTGCACTTCCCCTGAGCACCCCTGTGCTGCATCAAAGTGGAGATGGAGCTTCCCTTACTTCCCCAGGACACACAGAAGGGGAAAATACTCCAGTTCCCAAACTCTGCTTCCAAACAAAACCAAGACGGATTGGATTCAGAGGGTCAGTCCCACACATCAGCCCTCTCTCCCCAAGCACAACTCCCATAGATTGCACACTGAGTAAGCCTTCCTTGGCCTCAGCTGCAGTTTAGGGCTGAGACCATCCCCCCCAGCATATGCTTTTCGGTCCCAGCGTGACTAATCACCAAAGGGCTGCCCAGGAGCCACCTGGAAGGGAATTTGCATGCTGGCTCTCCAGGGGAGAATTCTTCAGGCTCCCACAGGGTTAGCCATTAGCGCTGGTTCAGAGCCCATACCATTATCCCACTGATCTGCTGCATCCCTTCATGAGGTATGGACACAAAATGGAATTCCACCCCTACAGGGAGCACTTCAGCCAATTTCATACTCCCCCAACGTATAAAAATCAAGCTTCAAGCAGAGGGGAGGGAGTGAAACAAAAACTGCCCCACACAAAGGAGGACCTAATTCCCAACCCAGCAGACATCAAGTGTGTGTCAGCCCAGACAACACCGGAGGGAGATAAATCCCTTTCTACAGGAGCTCTCCTTTAAAGGAGGCAGAATAAAACACAAACCCACTTAAGGAAAATAATAACGCTTAAAAAAATCCCCAAACCCCAACCCCTCAATGCCCCACACCCCCAAACCCCAGCAACCTAATGAATAGAGACTGATGATCTTATAAAGCAGAAGAACTACCAATGAGATCAGGGAAGGGAGCCACACAAACTTATTACCTGAACCTAATAATAGTCAGAAACAGATGCTTCAAAGGAAAACACAAGAGATTCTGGGAGCAGCTTTCACGCCACAGGGGCAGTCTCTTCCTAACCCCTTCTTCCCAGCTCTGCCCTCCCAAGTCCACAGTCACTTCTCCCCATTAAAAAGCAAACTGGCTACACAGAAACGTTCCCATGTTTCCTTCTATTTATTCCAAACACATCAGGCTTCGGTTCCACTGTAGGGCCCTTCGCTCTAGGGTTGTTATTATTCAGCTCTTCTGTTGGTCATTTATTACTTCATATTTTGATGAGTTTTATTCCTGTGGAGTTAAAGCTGAGGGCATACCACTAGCCCAGAGTTAATGTTTAGTACTGTTGTAAATACATCCAAAGTGTTTGGAAAACTGAAGTTAAGAGGAAATTCAAAAGTTAAGAGGTCACACTTAGGACACTCAACCAACCTCCACTATATTTTGCCTTGACATCCAGGAACGACTATACAGCTTGGTAAATGTATTGCTTTAACTCATACAACTCATTTTAAAACCATGCTTCCATAGTCAGAAGAAGAATGCATGGCAATACAAACGAAGCAGTAGGAACTCCATTCATAGCCAGAGATGGGGCAAGACCTCTGGGCAAACTGGATTAGCATGTAGACAACTGGAAACAGAACCACTGTATTCCCTTCCTAGCTCAATACTGATGCTTACATGGCCACAGGATAGTTCTGTCTCTTTAGCCCCACTGCCCCAACATGTAAAATAAAGATTATTATTACTTCCTAAGGAAGCTGCAAGTCCTTCACAGGTGCTGCTCCCACTGATGAGAAGGTGATCACAGATTGCACTAATATGCTTTCACCACTGATCATGGCAGGATTAGCTAATGCAACAGTGAACACAGTGAAGCCTCATGCCCCCCTTCCCTGCTCAATTCCAGCTTCATCACTCCGTAACTGTGCAGTGTTTTCCTAAAACAGATGAGGAAAGGCAAGTCCTGCAATGGAATGGAAGACAAACAAACGCCCAGACAGCAAGGGACTAAACCCACCTCCCCAGGCAGAACAGAGAGGCAGGATGAGGAGCAAGCCCAAGGAAGGGGAGCTGATGGGAAGAGCAAGGCTGGGCAGTGGCAGCCCAAGAGAGCACACCTGCCAACTGACAGCGAGCAACACAAAAAGGCCTTTGAACTTCCAACCATTTCCCTGAGCTCATCCCTCTGCATGGTCACGCTGGACATCATCCAAGGTTTCAGCAAAGCTAGGTCTATGGTAAGCCTGCTATTCCTCCCCCTCTCCCAACTCCTATTACACAGGCCGCTCTTTTATGGCTGAGCAGAAGGGGAAGGAGGAGGGCAGGGGGAAAAGGGAAGTTTATAAGGTGAAACGCAGCCTGAATCACGTCCCACTGTCCTTTGAACACTTGATTCCTGTTGCTTGTGCTGAGCAGGTTGCTGTATACCCAAGGACTGCAAGCGACCGGCGTTCCGAGCTCCAGAGTGCGGTGGTTTGAACACTGCTGTTTAATGACACGAACTCTTCAGTCATGTGAAGAATGAGGAGTTAAGTTAAAGAACAAATATAAACTCCCTCCAAAAACATCCATGCTACCCACATGAAAGTCAAGCGCAGCCGGCCCTCCAGCTACAGCCACACTCGTGCATGTGGAGTCCGCTGTTGGGAAGCAATGGGAAACGCTGCATTTTATTCACTCCGTTTTGGAGAGTCTAGTTCCAGAATAACAGAAAATGTTCCCAAGTTCACTGCTGAAGTGTATTTAAAGGATGCTGCTGGTCAAAAGGAAAAGAAGGGGAAAAACCAATTTAAAATAGCATCAGCACCCAATCTGTCACAGCCCTTTGATCACTAGTGCGCTCTCTGCCCGGGGGGGCACTGCATTAATTCTGGTGCCTTTTAAAGGAAGCATGCGTACTCCAAAGCCAATAAAATGGTGCAGTATGGTTGCAGATATAGAGAACTGGTGTCTTTTAAAGAGAAACTTGAACTCTTCAGGAGCAAATTAGTAAAACTTGAAGTTTAGAAGTGAAGCTTCACCTGAGCTCTTATGTCTGAGCTCCAGACTGGTGATTCAGTGGCAGGCAGAGGAAAGAGGATTCTTTTAAAGTTTCTGTTAATTTTAGTAAAAGACCTGTGAGATTCTTATCCTTACTTCAACTGAAAAGGTTTTGTTGTGGGACCGATATGCAGGCTACACTGATAGCCCTGGTCCTGGCAAGGAAGAGGTCCACTCCGAGGCTTGAATGAGCTGTAGCTCAACAGGAACTGCCTATGTTCCCCAATGAGATAGGAATGTCAAACCACCTTCTGTAAGTTTTAAGGTAAAATGAGTAAATTCTTCTTCAGCCCCTTTAAATGAAATCGTTTGGCTTGCTTAGCTCCACGCTCTGTTGTACAATGCTGTCTCACGGAGCCTCACATTTACATTAGGTATGATACAGATCCAAACCTCAGAGTAAGGTGGCTCTGCTGGGGGATGGTCCTGAGGGGATTTGGTGCATCTTAGGAGAAACAGAGCTATTTATCAGTCCTCACGCCAAGTTTCCTCAGTTGTCCTTTCACCCTTGCCACAGGAAGTAAGGCTCATTCACACCACCCTGGACTTCAAAGCACATGCAGGAGGGCAGAATGAAAACCATTCCTCCACTTGCATGCGGCTTTCGTTAGGGACAGTCCAAAGTAGTCTCTGTTGGCACAAGGCAGGAAGGCAGCTGAGCTGCTCTGTCCTTGTGTAGGAAGGGCTTCCAAGGCAGTCACTGTCAGCAAGCCAGAGAGCTGACACCAGAGAAAGTCTATGAAGCTGGCATGACAGCTGGGAGGCTGCTTATTACTATTATTACTACAGCTCTCTGGCTTGTAAACATGATCCAGAGCAGGAAGCAAGCATGTCACTGAGTAATTGGCTCCCATCACAGCAGGGCTTCAGATCTGCAAGAGAAACAGTTCCTGTCACAGCCAGGTAAGCAGAGGCAGGGCTCTCCCCAAAGCGACAGGAAAATACCTATGAGAGGCAGACATTCCAAGGACACCAATACACAGAGAGAATGGCTGCGGTGTGCAGAAGGGGTTGAGGAGACCAGCTGAGGAAAAACCTGGTGCCACTGACTCAAAAAGCAGGAATTTGTTTTATAGTTTGTAATAGCACATTAATTAAAAAAAACCACCAAAACCCCCCAGTTTAAGGATTTCTCTGAAAACTGAAAATCCCTCTTCAAAAGGAACGCTCCCTGTGTCTGCTCTTGCTTTTCACAGCTGTAACTCCTCTCACTGCCAAGTATCTTGTCCTTTTGTTCCTTTTCTTCTCACACAGTGCATTTGAAGCTGGCTTTTTTAAACTGAAGTGACAGATTCCGTGTTCAAAGCTAGAAAACTGCATCAATATAGGATTTAGTAAACTCCAACCAAACCACTCAAGCATGTGCAGTGGCGTTACACAAACACAGACGCAAGATTCAGTCTTCAATGGCTAAAGTAATTTTCACCTTTCCGCCCACCCCATGTTTCACTCTTCCTTTATTAGGAGTCCAGCAGTCCAGTGTCTTCCCATTTTCCTCACCCTTTCCCAAGGAAGTAGACAGAACTCTCAGGAATTCATTCTTGTCATTGTATAGGCTTATATTATGCATATGAGCTGATAACACTGAAGACAAAGTAAACCTTAAAACAAGCATGGTTGCAAGCTTTATTTCTCTGGAAAGTTAGGACATCCACCGGAGGGAAAAGAAAATCCCATAACTCTGAAAAACAGCTTGCCGCAGACCACTGGAAATGTGGGTTTCCTTGCAATCATTTCTGTTCACTCTTCTGATCAGAGACTTCTTGATGCTATTTTAGTTCCTGCCTTTAGAACTCAGAGCTGTACTTCCATACATTGCTGAAAAAGAACCTCATCAGCTTTAGCATCTCAGAAGAATCCATGTAAGTGGTTGCACAGACTGAGGTTCATGAGTCAGATCAAACCACTGGGCTCACCCCAGCATGAAGACTTGCCCAGTGGTTTTTGAGGAAGCTCACTAATTTTTCAACTAGGCTTCAATATATCTGGGGCTTGTAGGATGACTTCCTGAGGCCCAAACGTACAGCTCAGTGGTGCATTGAAAAGAAATCCATCAATTTCAGATCTGGTGTAAGTCAATCGATAAAAATAAACCAACTTGAAACCAGAAGTTGTTCGGAACTTCAACCAGAACCCTGCACGTATGTCACAGATGGCCAGGGAAGGAAAGAAATTCTCGTGTTCTGTGTGCAAACATCAGTGCTGATTGTGAGAAGCCTAAACTGATTTAAAGTTGGAGCTGCTGTTCCACACCTTACCCCTGCTCTCACACTCCAGCTGCCTTCTTCTTGCTTGCCACAGGCAGCAAACATCAAAGGGGAAGTTAACCCCACAAACAAGTGCACCTTCACAAGGCTCCTGCATGCCAAGCAAAGGAGAGGGATTTAGCAGGTGATCTGCTCTAACAAGAAGTTTCATGCCATAATAACGGGACAAGATAGGAAGCAGCACAAACTATCATAGAAATCCACACTGTAGAGTCCATCTAGTTCTCACAAGCTAACAATAATATCACGTATCACTCGTAACGAGCAGCTACTCAGAGCAAGATTGAGCAGGCTTAATGGAGTTAAGTGTTCCTAGGGCCCCTCCACTGCTACCTCATGTTTGTGTGCTGAAGCCATGCACTTAACATTTCTATAGCGCACTCAGCTCCATTGCCTAGCTTCTATTTTTGCCCTTTTCTTTCCACTAAATTCCACCCAGAATGCTTCTGTTGGCAGCTGAAAAAGTTCTCCTCTTTGCATTTATTCTACTACAAGGCAATATTAAAAAGGCAGCTCATTTCTAGTCCATCCTCTTGAGTCACTTTTCTACTCTGTATAAATGCAGCTCTTTATCTCCCCTCCCAGCTTGTCAACTCTACTGTCCCTCTCTGTACACTCTAGCTTACCTCTCTCACTAAACTGCAGACCTACAGCACAAGTTGTACTCTTAATGAGATGTTTAAACATTCCCATCTTACACATGCTGTTTCCTAGACAGCTCCTTTTGCTTCAGTCTTATTCCTCCCTTTGCCTTGTTAGAAACTGTAAATTAAGGAAGGCAGAAATCAAATCCCATTCCTACATTCTCTGCCTCTACTTTATATACTGCCCAACCTCCAGGGGCTGAAAGTATCAGCAGATTGATTGCAGTTGACTACTACTTCCTACTTTGCACAGCTTCCACTCAAATCCATGTAGACCAGATTTCCTTAATACATCAGGGATACACCATAACCACAGCTGTACTGTGCGAGACCAAAAGGTTCCTCTCACCCAGGCCGCAGAAAGAGACAGGATGCAACAGCAGACAGTAAGAGAGGAATGTAAGAACATAGCATGCAAGTAAACGTTCTTCCTCAGAAGTCAAAATCTGCCTCTATTTGTGATACAAACACTTCCCGAACAAGAGGTGGCATACTCATCTTTAACAGCCCTCAGCAAACTTCACATCCATAAACTTGTTGGACTGCTTTCTGAGAACGTCTGAAATTCCAGAACCAATGTTTTGTGGCAAGGAGACCCACAGCTTAAGTGTGTGCTGTATGAACAAGCAACTCTGGGTACCTTTGAAACATCTCCTGCTAGCTCTCACCTAGCTGGGCTCAGCCTCAAAGATGCTGATGCTATGCAAATACAGAGTAGCTGCAAAGCAAATTCTCTCAGCATATCCCAGGACCAATGAATGTTGATGACGCTGCTTACTTTTCCCTCCCATCCCAGGGCAGGCAGGACAGAAACTAGAATGTTACTTAAGAGGGCAGACACCCTTAATATACTTTTCACACTGCTTACTTATTTTCCTTTAATATTTATAGCAAACCCATGTAATTTAGTTCACTGATAGTACTCTTGAAAGGGTGGGAAAAAAGAGGTACTTCTCTCTGTCCCTCCCCTCCCTCTAAAACATTCACGTCCAACAGCTGTCTAAAACCAGCTGCAAAAGGCAGAGCTGGGCTTTCACTGTGCTTTATGACCCTGAGTCATGAAATCAGTCAAAAGCATGTCAGCTACAGGCTTAAGCATTTTTCATGCAAAAAGCTATGATAAGCCTATAAAACAGAGAAGCACCTGCAGAGAAGTTAAGACAAACACAAGAATGGTATTCTTACTGCAGCCATCTTCATCACTGTGGTCCCCGCAGTCATTGTCTCCATCACACTGCCACTGAGCAGGGATGCACGTGCATTCACCAAAAGCACTGACAGCACATGTAAAATGATTCCGTCCACAGGAGCATTCGGTGCTACTTGCAACACCTGGAAAGGAACAGAGAATAAAATGTATTTTATTTAAGAGATCTTTCTATTTTAGGGTAAATGCATTAAATACAAAAGCTGACATCACGGTTTTCCTCCATGTACGCACCATGTGTATGAACACGTACTCTATTGTAAAGGAAAACATTCACCCCCCTTGCACTGTTGAAACAGGACATCAAGTACTATGACAGCTTCCTGGAATAGGGCTATTTGAAGGCAACTGCAAACAGCAACCTGCCAAAAACAGACTTGGGAATCAGCTGAAAAATAACTCAGCACTAGTTACAATCAAACTCAAGGAATGCCAGGTATCAGAACACCCTTGTTATCTTACAAACTCAGTCTTCTCCTAGCGCATGGTGCTTCTGCTGCTCCACTTAGTTCTGATGCCACAACAGAAGGCGTAACAAAGATTCCACTACAGAGAGTCATCTGGGGTCTTCTCCAGACCCTGAACTTTGTAGAAGTAAACCTTTTACATGCCACTGCTTTAGACACTTCAGACACCAATGAAATCAAAATCAAGATAAAAATCTTACTTATCTGTTGTGATTTAACTGTGACATTATCCTGTGTGTAACTGACAGTTCTGAAAGCAAAGAGGATTTTCAACTCTACAAACTGACCAAAACAAAACACTCTCCAAATGTCAATATATAATCTGATAAGAACATTTTTTTCCAGCCTTAAAGGTAGCTTAAGGAGCTCCCAACCCTTTTCTGCGCTCTCCCTGCTACAGAACACCACTCTGCACAGCTCTTGACTCTCAGCCCTGTGCAAAGGAAACTGTTATCCCACACGTTCTCTTAATAAATCTCTGCCTGGAAGAGACAGAACAGGCTATAGCCCACCTCTCGAAAGGAAAAGCTCATGCCTGAACTTCTGGCTGACATTAGCTGACTATCTATATAATCAATACCACTGTTAGACAAATGATTACTCTATCAGTCAAAACCCCCCTCAGGCTTGTCTGGGACTGGATTCTTCTCGCATGGTGCCTTGTTTCTGCAATTCAAACAAACCCAAAGCCCTCGGATTAAACAAGAGATCATAAGGAGTACAGAGGGATATCTGCCCCATGTGGTAGTTCTATAAACCCTGAGCTGTTTGCAGACTTTCCCATCTCAGTTGTTATGTCTAGTGTATCCATGATGAACCATGAACTGTAGCAACCAAAGCGTGCACACACAGAAAGGAAAAACGCCTCAATTTTCTTATTTTCCATTCTAATTGGGAAAAGCAGTATCTGCAAAACTGCATGTAATTATTCCTCAGCTCTCTCAGCAAGCACAATGCCCCCCAGAGAAGACATCCACTTGGGCAAGCTAAGCTACGACTTAAGTTTAGAAGGGATACACTTCTTGCTTGAGGAAGAATTCCATCCTAAGCTTCCTCCGCAACAAAACTGGCTGAGGATTACTGTGCATGTCAGAGAAAGTGGCCGATACCTAGTGTAACAAGGGACAGAGGCAGGAAGAACATAAGGTGAATGAGGAACAGCAAGAAGGAATGGCAAATGAAAGAGGGCAGAGTGGTCAGATCCTCAAAGGACTTACTGGACATAGCCAGGACAAAGGCTGACTCAAAAAGACAGCAAGAGGGAGATGTAGAGTGAGAAGGCAAAAAAAACAGCGGAGTCATCCCTAAGGAAAATGCAATGCATCATCTATGCAACATAACTATTACACATAGACACAAGGAAATTCAGAAGAACCACAAACCTCCCCAAAAATCAAACAGGTTTCTTCAAACTGGCAGCACAGGAAAATCAGGACAAACCACCTTCTGCTGTTACCTACCCCTATTTAGAAAGGCAGTACGGACTGCATATCGTATCCAAGATAGCTGCTATTTAAATCCCCTTTTCCAAAGCAATTTTTCTACTGATGTCCTCAACATCACCCCAAAGCACTTAACCCTGCTACTTTAAGCTCCAATACTCCTTCCTGTTGGAGTACACCAAGACTATCATAATCCTCATCACCCTTAGAAAAAGTCAAATGCACAAGTACTAGTGGCTGGCTCTATCTTGCCCAGGCCTCCACCATGACTTTGGGCAGGTTCAGTAACAGGAAAGGATCAGACACCAAGGCAATCAATTCTTAAACTAAGGGAATATATTTAATGATTTATTTCTGGATAAGGATAACCACAAGTTGGAGGGAAAAAGTATGAGCTATTTTAGCTCCTGAATAGCAGCACAGAGGCACAGTTCTGCAACAGCAGAGGAAGAATTGGTGCAGCTGTCCTAATCTGCAAACTGCAGCTTAATCTGCTGTTTTGTCAAACATACTGTTATCTTCAAAAGTTGCTACTGATATCAGGTTATAGATACACACACACATATGTATTAAATCAGTTCTTCCTACTTCACTGAAGTTGCTATGTTCAACCACCTCCATCTCTGGTTTGTGTTTTACCACCCTATTGAAACTGCTGGAAGTTGAAGGATACATTGTGACCCAGATACCAACCCTCTCCATATGCACCAGCCTGCATCTGTAGTAAGCATACTTGGCTCAACCAGTCCAAATTATGACCTTTGTAATTCTGATGCTTTGTGATTTGTGACCTTTAAGGCAATTAACCTTCTAGTCATTATGATGTATTTATATTATAAACCACAATTTACCCTAGTCTTACACTTAGACAAGTAAAGCACGTCATTGTTTGGAGAGCACACTCATTCCAACCTATGAATAGTATCAAAAGAACCAATCCTGGATGACTAGTCTTTATTCAGTAAGACAAACAGGCTGAACGAAAGACTTCAATGTGGACAGTATTTCCCCTTTGGTGTCCCATGATTATTTCCCAGTGCTGGGAGCTCAAATGCTATTACCCTGTAACTATACCTGTAACAGTAGAGGAACAGGAAGGATAAAGTGAGAATCATGTTTCCTCCAACTCCCCCAAGCAGAAATAGTGCTCTTGGTGTGAGAAGTCTCAATGGAACACTTACTCTTTAAAGGGGAGCCCTCATTAAAAACAAGGAGTGTGAGACAGTAGACTGACCAAGTGTGCAAATAAACATCCAGTGTCACATTTCAATCCCAGTTAGTCAGGGATACAGAGCAGGATGGAAACCAGTACATGCCGTTAACTGCACCAACAATCAAAGCACACATATCTACTTACACTTCTGCACGTTCTTCTGGAGCAGGAACAATGAGAGTTACCTCTGGGCTTAGCCATGACAAACAATTTTCATCACACTGCAGGCTTGGACATTTACCAGCCTTCTATATTCAAAAATCATTTCACTTATGCAGAACATAACATTTCAACAATGTAATACATACAAAACAATATGCAAAAGCTGAACAGAGTCCCTGCCAGCCTGAGCTGACTCCACTCAACTCCCCTGGCCTCTCCTCATGCAACCACCAAACACTATTCTCACTTGCCCATGTGTACAAGCAACCAAAAAAGCATCTTCAGTGTCTGTAGTTAGTTCCCTCCAGATGCAATAGCAGCAGGATCCAATATCCAAACAGTTTTCATAGCAAAGCATTATACAAACAGCCTCTGGATTTTAAAAACAGGAAGTCAGTCTAAACACAGGCCTCCTACTTAACATCTGCCATCACCTTAAATTTAGCATGGTATGCTCTGTTTCTTCAGATTCCTTCCAAATAACCCTCCCCATCTCCGTGTTTATCTATCTGACAAAGGAAACGTCTCCTGAGCCAGGGTGGGTTCCCTCTCCCTCCATTAAAAGAGAGTTAGGATCTCTGTAATTTTATGCCTAAAGTTGGCAGAACAGTTATGTCATTTCTGGCTGAAAAGCCAAAGTCAATAATCACCCTGTCATTTCTGCACATCAGGCTTTTTGAGGGGCTTATGCTGTCACAGAAGAGCCCTGTATTTGCCACGGATTCACAGAAACATTGACATGACAAAGGAAGCTTATTAAATAGACGGGGTAATTACCCAAACTGAACTTGGCAGCCTTTGTTTTGTTAGGGACAACAGATTCTTAGGGAAGAGTGAAAACACTATTGCTTTTAAACCTGATGACATGCTTTATTCCAAAAGAAGAGATGTTAATTCCTTTTTTTTCCATAATGACAGATGGAAGCTTTTAGCACTGTTTTGCAGCAATTCAACACTTCCAGGCTGTTGCTTCAACATGGAATCATGTAACAACCCAGAATGGAAAGGATCTCACTCAAAACATCACCTGGTCCAACCTTTTGTGGGAAAGGGAGCCTAGGTGAGGTAATCTAGCACCCTGCTCAGTCACATCTTGAGAACCCCCAGCAATGGGGACTCTACCATGTCCTCAGGGAGGCTGTTCTGCTCCATGATTGATCTTACTATAGAGCATTTCTTTCTTCTGCTGAGATGAACATGTTCCTGTTCTTCAGGGTCCATCAGCTCTGTTAGGCCCTGGCAACATTACAGCAAAAGTCCCATAAGATAGCTGAAGTTTCCTCAAACAGATGTTGACTAAGAAGACTGCATGAACAACTGCATGCCATGAACATCCTCCTGGCATCTCTGGTCAACACCATGGTGCCCTGCCACATTTTCCCTCTTTCCAGGTACCAAGACCTGATGACGTAAGAGACTCTCCCACTCCACACCACCCTGTTAGTTGCATCTTTTCCCTCTTTATCCCAACACAAAAATTCCTATTGTTATTTTTTTAAAGCAGTGGCATTAAATTCACAGCCATCAGTTTGCTCATGCCATTCTGCACCTCTGCACGTGCCTGTAACAGAGAGTAGCATAGCGATCCATGGCTAAGTGTCCATTTAATTCAAGGAAAACAGCACCAATGGGTTTCAAAACCCCAGAACTACGGAAATATTTGGCATGATCTACAGTTGCAGACTGTTCAGCTCAGAATCAGAAACCTCTGGAAAAAACAAACATTCCTTTGGTCCAGTACTGAATCACATGGATCTGGGTTCCTTCCTCTCCATGGACAAACACCTAAGCTGGCATTTCATTGCCTACAGAAGACATCCAATGGAAGTCAGAGATCTTCC